GCCTTCTCATCTACAGCCAAGGCGAGATTGTCTTCAGAACTGTTGTCCACTTCTGCCACGACAACTGAACCTTGTTTCTTCTGTTGCCCTCTTCTCTTGGGACAGTTGTACTTCCAATGCCCCACTTCCTTATAGTTGTGACAAGCATCACCTGGCTGTGGACCGGGACCCTTGGAATTCTTGTTCGAATTCCCTTTACCAGATTTCTTCTTTCCCTTTCCACCTGTAACAGCCAAACCCGATGCCTCACCACATGTACCAGATCCAGACGCCTTATGCCCGATCTCTCTTGTATGAAGAGCAGACCTGACATCCTCCAACGACACGCTTTCTTTACCAGCAATAAAAGAATCAACAAAATTCTCATATGAACTCGGCAAATAAACCAGTAGGATTAGGGCAGCATCCTCGTCATCAACTTGAACATCTATATTACGCAGATCCATCAAAATAGAGTTAAGCTGTTCCAGATGTTCCCTCAAAGGCGTACCTTCTTGCATCCTCAAGCTGAACAACCTTTGCTTGAGATGCAGATTGTTGGTTAGAGACTTAGTCATGTACAGACTCTCTAGTTTCAACCACAAGCCCGCGGCAGTCTTCTCAGCAGCGACTTCAATGATGACGTCATCAGACAACGATAGCATGATGGTCGAGTGGGCCTTCTCCTCCAGGGTATTCCACTCATCATCATCGACCGTGCCTTCTTCTGTTTCGCAGACAGCGGCCCCCACAACCCTTGTTGTTTTAATAAAGCCTGCATCTTGATCTGCCATATAGCGAAGCTGTTCTTCCCCGTGAACTTGTCGATCTTCATGTTCACCGACGTCATTCTTCTGAATCGAAAACCCTAACCTGATTTCCAGCCGCGGCTCTGATACCACTTGTCAGAATAGAAGCGTGGCAATCGATAATCCAAACCAACACGAACGAACACAAATTTAACGTGGTTCACTAACACAATGTGTGCTAGCTAATCCACGGGCAGGAGAGAACAAATTTCACTGATTTGAGGAGAGTACAGGTTACAAACCAAATTCCAAACGGACAAACCAAACAAACTAACCTGACTGACCTTACTACAGACTAGGGTGATGAAGAGTATTTATAGAACTCTTCTCCTAATCCCAAACAGAAAACCAAACACCTTTTCCTAAACATAAAAGGAAAAGGTCAAACAAAGCCCAAACACAAACCCAAACAAAATAGACCCAAAACACAAAACAAACCCAAATCAAATTCAAGTCATATTCTAACAATATTAAACAAAACCACAACCACATACAAAATTGTGGCTAGGGTTTACAAACACCCAAGTAAAAGAAGGGACTACTCCATGCTAGGAGAAGGAAAAACACAAGAGAGAAGAAGGAAAACTATCAATGAGATGCTATACTTGCTCCTTGTGTTGAAGAGATTCTCCTTTGGGAGAGGAATTCCCAAATCCTTGCTTGAAGATGAAACCCTAGCTTCTCCTCTTCTTTGGTTCGTCACTTTCTCACTCTAGAAATGTGAAGAAGAAGAAGTTTCCCACCCTAGGTCTCTCCCTTTTTTCCCTTCAGCTCAACCTCCTTTATATATCCCGATCGGGCTCAGATCACGGTCTCAGTTCACGATCGTGAACTGAAATATTGGACCGTGATCTCAAGTTGAAATGCGCTGCATCACTAAGTCCAGTTCACGGGAAATTGCCTGAGTTCACGGTCTTACGGCCATGAACTGACTTGTGTCTAGTGAAAACGATTTGTGCTTTGGATGCCTGGCTATTCACGGGTAGCGCCTCCAGTTCACGGTCTTAGTGACCGTGAACACACAACCCAAACTATGATCTGCTATTGTTTCTACCCTTTGACTTGATTTTTCTCCCTTTTGTCCAACTTTCGACTCCATGGTTGGTTCCACCTGCCAAAGTCTGCAAAACACCAAAACAAGGCAAAACCCGGCATAAAACCAAACCTCTCAGAGTAAAAATCTTTCAAACGACTAAGCAAATCGGGGCTAAAAAATGTACAAATGAGCCCGAATCACATACTTATGTTGTTTATACTCTAACAATGATACAATAATAAATATTTTCCTAACAAAAAATCATAATATTTTTCTTTGAAAGTTATAGTGTAGAGATATAAAGAAGCAGAGAAAGATTGAAGTACAAGTTATGCAATATTAGCAATATTCTCAAGTGCAACACAAAATAGGGTTATGTTTACAGGGTCCTGGTGCATACTTGCCCTAACTATAGAATATTATAAAACAGAGAAGAAAAAAGGGGGGAACTCAAACGACAGAAAAGGAGAAGCCATATACAATTTAGGGAGATGAATAAATGACATGACTTTCATTCTTTAGTTTAATTAGCTTGAAATTGAAGGCATATATGAGTGAATTAATATGACCCAATGATATGAATAGCCTTTTGCAGTTAAAGCCAACTACCACACCATTTTCCCATTTATCATCTGCCTTTTTGTTTTCTCCTTCTCGTCACTAGTTTATACTAACACCACATATTTTCAGTCCACATAATTTCACACAAGACTAGAAAACTTCATGCATGGACGAACAAACCTCCACAATTGGCTTTATTATCTCGTGTTTTTTCTTCTTGTAGACGTGCGGCGGCGCCACCATGTCTCTCTCCCTAAAAATACAGTTAGACACATATAACCCCCTCCTCCAATTTGTTTTATTATGTTGTAGAAAAAGTCTCAATCATATAATGTGGTTTTATTTATCCCACCACGTGTCATCCAAACTGCTAGCACGTTGCCCTTTACTCTCTCATCTATGCATGTCGTTCTCTCTCTATCTCATCTTATTTCATCCTCATTTCTCAATAACCATTACAAAGTCTAAAAACAAGGTCACTCCCTCAAAAACTCATCATTCTTCCTCTTCACAATTCACCATTTCACAAATCACTTTCACTACAAGAACAAACAAACATACATTCGCCTCACACCATTTCCCTTTGTGTTCTTTTATTCTTTTGACCTTCTGTGGTATTACTACATCAATTCCTCATTTTGTGATTTCAAAAAAAAATTCCTTCTCACCATATGGCACTAATTGTAGATCAGCAAGCAGGATTCAAACATTATTGCAAGATTTGCAAGAAGGGGTTTGGATGTGGGAGAGCCCTTGGGGGCCACATGAGAGCTCATGGTATAGGCGACGATACTGCGAACCAAATGGAAGAGGAAGACACCACCAGTGATTGGGAAGACAAATTACCAATTGGTAGTAACAATGTGGCCCCCACAATTAAGAGAATGTATGAACTAAGAACAAACCCTAATCGCCTAAAGACCACTCGTGCATGTGAGAATTGTGGCAAAGAGTTCTTCTCTTGGAAATCATTCCTTGAGCATGAAAATGGAAAATGCACCTCTAATGATGTTGACTCCCTCATCTCTTCCCCCCTTTCAGAAGAAGGTGAAGAGTATGGCCCCACGATGAGGGGAAGCAGCAGTGGTGGTTGGTATAAAAGGAAGAGGTCTTTTAGGGCTAAGGTTGAAATTGGTAATAGCAATTATAATAGTAACTACAGCTCTATTTTCCCATCAAACGAGGAGGAGGATCTAGCCAAATGCCTCATGATGTTATCCAATGCTACAACCACAATGGAAAATTCTCCTTTGGTGGTCGAGCCAGAGGAGTCTTGTGCTTCAGCTAGTAAAGACGAGGATCGAAGAAATTCAACCAACTTCATAACACCGGCCACTAACATCACGTACCATCCTACGATCGTACAAACCGTTGATAAGGCCAAAGGTACCACCGTAAGCAAAGGAATGTTTGAATGTAAGGCTTGCAAGAAAGTGTTCAACTCACACCAAGCGCTTGGAGGGCATAGGGCTAGTCACAAGAAAGTGAAAGGTTGTTTCGCTGCCAGGTTGGATCATAACAACCAAGCTTCTATCGTTGATGATATCATGGTTGATGATGATGTTGTCACCACACAACATGATGACACATTCATGAAAGTGCCATCGTCGAGCTTCCAGTTCGACCACGGCTCCCAAACTATTGCTTCACCCTCCAAGAGGAAATCTAAAGTTCATGAGTGCTCCATCTGCCACCGGGTGTTCTCTTCTGGCCAAGCGTTGGGCGGTCACAAACGTTGTCATTGGATCACGTCCAATTCGCCCACAGCCGATGCCTCATCTTTGGCTGCAAAGTTTCACCAATTTCAAGACCATCTAGAGCAAATTCAACATAGACCTCCCAAGTTTATCAGTACGAGTAGTAACTCTGACTCGTTGGATCTCACACTTGATCTTAACCTTCCAGTGGCTTCTGCAGTGGTCGTCGACCATCCAAACCAAGCTAGGAAAGACCATCTTCGTCATCCTCCTCCTCCTAGTGGCTTTGCTTTAGCCACTGGGGTTTACTTACAGCCTTGGATGGGTAAAGGAAAAAAGTTGAACCATAATGATGAGGAGAGAATCAAGAAGAGTCCTAATAAAAACAATGAAAATGCCAATGATTCTTCGACAATGCACAAGGTGGATGACATAGCAGACAGTAAAGTGAAATTAGCAAAGCTTAGTGAACTTAAGGACATACGTATCAATGGGAATTCATCGCCATGGTTACAGGTGGGAATCGGTTCCACCGCCAATGTGGGTGCAGACCATTGAACGAAATCAAAACCAACCTTTTGTGAAAAATATACTCTTTTCTATTTTAGAATTTATCCGAAATTTTTTACTAAAATTTGTACTTACACTCTGTAATTACATATCAAGCACAGGATAATTAGCATAAAGTATAAACATTTATAGGATATATGTAATAGTTTGTGTACTTTTCTTTTTCTATTTTATATTCTGGAGTAAGAAATTGAATCCAATATATTATTTCTTATATGGATGATATTTCCCACAACCACCTGTAATTTATTCAAAAGAAATGGAAAAAAAACATGATAGTCAATATCTTTGAACGTATATGCTGGACATTTTACTTTATCAACAGTATAAATATTTCTTAGGAACGTTAGTTGTTTTATCAATTCATTAAATATCTTTTACTTGTGTGATATGATTTTTATTTTGTTTGCTGTTGAGTTATTCACGCTTAAAAGATGAAGGATTATGTAAAAAAAATATTGTTCAAGGAATAGATGAGAAGAAATAATGAAAGAAAGACCAAGCAATCAGAAGAAAAACAAACCAACAGGGAAACACCGAAAGAAGAAAAAAAACTACGAAAAAAATTTCAATCTCCACATTTAAATTGTAACACCCTAGCTCGGTCGAACACTACTTTTACCAAAATGTCATTGAATAATCAAAATAACTCAAAATGAAAGAACAACATAAATAATTTCAAATCGCTATAGGAAATCTCTCTTACCAAATCATAGATGAGTATCAATCTCAAGCCTACTAATAGAAGTACATAAGTGAAAGGGTTCACTTGAAAACTTTTGCCATCACTAACCCATGCGAAGATGATATTTCGAGCAGCAGCTTCCTACTGACGAGTGATCGATTGCTTCCGCTTTCTTGCAGCTCCTGAGTGCGGGCGTTGGGTTCAGTCCTAGTCCTAAAACAAGAACTGAAAGTATATAAGGAATGACTGAACATAAAACAAGAACTGAAATGCATAACATGAACTTAAATGCATACACTAATTACGAAACTACTCTAGTCCCCTTTAACTACGCACTTTAATTTCAAATCGATTATCGACTTATATTTTGCCCCGGTGATGCCAACGCCCTTATAGGCCTTGTACTTGTCCATACACCATCTTCCTTTTCTTTTCCCCTACAGATAGAATACGTCCACCTCACATATAATTATTAACCCATTTGCTTGCTTTACTATAATCCATGTTTGATTCCATCAATCCAACCCCTTTATATTAATTAAACTACCATGCATTCCACGTAAAGTAACTAAACTTAGTTACTAATTTGTAAAGAGGCTTTTGGTTTCTAACTTGTAACCGAGCTTCTTTTGGTCAATAATCCATCACCCACAATTCCATTGCATCGCCCACATGTAGCCTATTCCTTCAATTAGTAACCTACTGCGAGCCCCCACATTCCTCAATAGCAAATGATTCTATAATTAAATGGACCGGGATAATTCCCTTACCTCTCTAATGCGTGTCTAGGGCTGGGAGAGGGTTGCAGACGTGGAATCCCATATTTGCTTTCGTCCTCCGCAACCTTGCTGTGGATACTACGAGGTAGGACATGAGTTGGTTAAGTTATAGATCGATCAGAGCTTGGGAAAGAAAAGGTTGGGCTCGAAATTGTTACCAATTAGGCTTGGTCCATTGCTGCCGCTTGAACTTAGCCAAGGGTAATCTTATCCGGAATATTAGTTTAGGTTTAATCAATAAGAGGGGCATTTTAGGAATTTCAGAAAAAACTAGGTATGTGGTGTGACAGAAATCTTGTCAAAATCAAAGTAAAGAAACAAAAAGAGGAATAATTTGATTAATGAGGAATGACATTAGGTGATAACCCCCTAAGGGGTTAACACTGTGATAACTTAGTTTCCTACCGTTAGATGTAATTTTAATCCAAGGGTTATAATTTTATAAAGGTTAACTATGTCTAAATTTATTTTGCATCTCACAAACCCTAATATATATTTGCATATTTGGCCGCCTACCTCTGGAACCGTCTCCTCCCCACTCCCCTTTCAAAAACCCTCCCAAGTTCCCAATTATATTCTCCCTTTCTCCTCCAACGACGGCATGGTCATAGGTCGTCCATGACGATGGACGGGGCAGGCATCGAGGGCGTCGATGACAATGGAGTCGATTGAGGAAGGGTTAGATCTGAAGACTCACTTTCTTCTCTAGCGGCGACATTGTCCCAGGGCGTCGACGACAATGGAGGAGGTAGGCGGCAGCGACAGCCACAACTTGTGAGATGAGGGTCGTTGTGTGATTCACCATTTTGGAAGTCGGCCACCGTCTCACTATTACCGCCAATGACGATCGGAAGATGAAGAGCAGCAAGAACCCGGTCCAGATTTATTGACCGGTAACCTAGATCTGTCATTTCCTCTGGCGACGGTGGAAGCCGAATCTGTTGCACTCCGCAACATCATCGGAGACAGAGTTCAATGTTGAAATGCTATCTAGCGGAGGGTAGTGTAGTGGCGGAGGATTTAGAAGAAATAGTAGGGCTTTTAATTGCAGAATATGTGGAGGGTTTGTAATCTTTCTGATTGGAGGAGGAGTGTATTGATTTGATTGGTAGTGATTTAATTGTGGGATCTTCCTTCTTATGATAAGTAGTTTGCTTGTTTGACTAGATCTCTCGTGAAGGAAAAGATCTCCTACAGTAATCTTCGGAAATCTTGAAACTTTGGTGTCGACTTTGCAGAGTAGTTTGAGGGTGTCTATCATCATGTACAAATATCCTTCTCATGACCCGCTTCATTATTGCCCAATGCTCTATTTGCACATTGATATCTCGTCTCCACGATGCACAAAGTTGATCCCACCATACAACAACATAACCTGTGAATGAAGCGAGTTGTACCATTTTCAAATCTAAATAATAATAATTTCTAAAGAAGACTTCCATCTCTCCTTCCAATCAAGATAGGCTTCTGGATTCATTTTCCCATGAAACAATGGAATGTAAAGCTTGTGTTATTTTGCGTTCTTGTTTGCGTTTTTATGTGTTTTTGTTATTTTCGCGTTTGTTTCTTTTCGTGCTTTGTTTTTCACCCACTCTTCTCCCCGAAGGGTGGTTGTATGTGTTTAATTTTCTTTTTAGTGTTTTTGTTTGTGTAGAAGTTTTTGAATCATGGAACTTTATGCTTCACCAAAGTGTGGGGGTCAATACCCGAAGATGGTTACCCCGAAACTTCATGGAACAATCAAGATAGTGGAAGTCAAGGGTTCCAATTCTTTTACCAACCCCCTTTTCAAGAAGAATAACCATACCAATGGGGATGAAGAGGCTTCCTCATTCCGAGAAGATTTCCTTCCACCACCGGAGCCAAGAAGCAAATTGGAACTCTTGGTGGAACGGTTTACCCGGGGATCCGATGGAGAATCCTCAAGTATGGGACAATCTTGCTACACTCCATAATGATCGATGAGCCAATTGGAGCTCATGTGGAGCGGTTTAATCGGGATACCAAAGCGTGGTCTAATGTGGAATCCTCAACCACCACCCCTATCGACTCATCTTTTCAACGGTCAACGGAGGAGTTCCTCCAAAAAACAGAGAGACTAGAAGAGATTGTTGAGCAAGCATGTGCACGACTCGCTCACAATCATCTCCTACCATTTGAATAAAAAGGAAAGGATGTCGAGTAGGAGAGAAGGGAGGTTGTGGAAGAGGAAGTGAGCATCAAAGAAGAGGAAGATCTTGAACGTTCCCAAGTGGCGGAACGAATTGAAGAAAAGAGAGGAGAGGTTGAAGAAGCAAATGGTTTCCATGATGAGGACAAGATCGTGTTGGATGAAGCTTCAACAAGTTACGAGTGCTATCAAAGATTTCCACCCGACCTTGATACACTTTTGGAGAAGGACCCATTTGCGGCTCTTTACCAAGCCAAAGCCAAACTATCGGCGATCCCTCATGATGGATGCGATGGAAGTCAATCGATGTTGCACTACACTGTGTGGGGGCAAAGAGAAGAAGGATGAAGGAAAGAATGAGAGGTCTCGTGGGTGGAGCCTCAAGACCACTCAAGTTCACGAGCCCTCAAGCTTGGAATCATCCAAAGTTCGTGACTTGAGACACCACCTTACCGACAAGAACCTCAACTTCAAGAAGTTTCTAAGTTGGATCGAATACTTGAAGATAATCGTCTGGCGATAAGACAAAAAATACGAACTAGTTGGGAGGTACCCCAACAGCCGGTTTACATTTCCTTACTTTTCAAAAATAAAACTTGCATTTTTGATTCGGGTCTAATTGCACACGTTTTGCCCCCGTTTTACTTAGATGTTTGTGCCAAATTCGCTCCTTAAAGGTCGGTTTTACACTAGGTTCTTCGTATTTGAGTGTATTTCAGGATTTAACAGGTGAAACCAGCCTCGGATTCGAAAGATTGGCGAAAAGGACAAAAAACCGGGAGAAGGGGTGAAAAAGCGCCAGTTCACGGTTAACTGAAGGAGTTCACGGTCAGGCAAGACCGTGAAGAAGGGGACTTGACTGTGAATTGCGAGGGGTCCAGAGCCAATGTGAAGGTTACTGACGCAAGGTGAGTTAACGGTCACTAAGACCGTGAACGGACGTGAGCGATGCAGAGCGTTTTGGCGCACGCCTTGAGTTCACGGACGCGTTTGATGGTTCACGGCCGTGAACTCAGCTCTTCTCGGGTTTAAAAGCTGAGCTGAAAGAAGGAGAGAGAGAGAGAGCCCACTTTTGTGAGAAATACCTTCTTCAGCATTCTAGTGAGAGAAATAGAACCAAAGGGAAGAAGAAGGTTAGGATTTGGCTTCGAGGCAGATTTGTGGGAAGATTTCCCCAAGGAAAGCTTCAACTCAAGGGTCAAGAAGAGAGGAGGCATCACCAAAGATGGTTTCCACAATTTTCCCTTTTGTTCTTCCTACTTCGACCATGGAGTAGAACTTCTTTCACTTGGGTGTAGTGAAACTCTAACTCTACCATGTAGTTTTCTTGTATGTGGTTTGGATGATTGTGATTGGGTATTGTTCAATTCAATGTTTGAGGCATTATTCACCATGATTATTCATGCTTGTTCTTAGCAACTTAGGGGTTGTGCATGTTTTGTGCTTAGCATCCTAGGGATTGTGCATAATTCTGCTTAGCACCCCCCAAGTTTGTGCATTTAGGTGCTAGTAATCTAATTTGCCACCTTAGCCTAGTTTAGAAAGGAAAAACCCCCTTTCAAGGGAGACTCAATCGAGTTGGTTTTCCTTCCGCTTTCTAAGCCACCTAAACTAGGTTGAGTTAGGGAAATCCTCAATATTGAATTAAACAAGACGATTAATCGTGGTTAAACCGTCCGACCTTAGAGTTGAGTGAGGGAGTTTTCCCTACCGAGACAACAGAAAGTCTCAACGGATCCTCCGCGCGCTGGGCATATCTCTTCCGTGCGTCTTTCTCGTGGCGGAAACAGAACAACAGGGAAAGACCCGGCCGACCTGCCCAGGGCTCGAGGGCGATCTTTATTTAAAAGAGAATGGGGAGTGAAAGTCAATTACCGATTGTCTAAACCTAGAGGGTCGAGTGACACGACTTTCATCCTCACCTCAGTTTAGCAATTGAGACTGTGGTCTCCGACCACATATGCATTCCTCTGCGGTTCACGATTAACGTGCCAGAGACAATCGTTCCAATCCACATAGCATGGTAGCGGTTAGGGGGAACCGAAACCCGAGTGACTTTCCCACAAAAGAGTTTTCAAACCCAATCACCTTTGTTTTCTTTTACTTCAATTAGCAAACCTTTTAAACCAAAGTTTAGTTGCTAGATAATGATTTCAACAATGGAAGTAAGGATAGACGGACCGGCCCGGGTCGATATCTAAATACTTGCCCTATACTGCACCCTATTAGAGTTTAAAAACTTGAGCTCTAATTGGGGTTTAATTGTGGTGTAGTTTCGTGCGAGTCAATGTTCGATTTTGCTTTAAGTATTTTTTATAGTTTTAGCTAGTGAATGAATCCTTTCAATGTCAAGAATTATATGATGATTGTTGGAGACTATCTAGTTGCTTAAGGAATGTGTGCAATTGTTGTTGTGAGCATGCGTGCTAGCTTAGCCTACCCATCAAGCTACTTATTGCTAGGGTATGGCATGGCTAGTGCAATAGGATCATAGAATGTATGTTTATGATTGTGTATGTGTGTTTGGAGGCCTTGGTGGGCTTTATTATTATGAACTTGTGGAGTTTGAATGTCGCCCACCAAGTGTTCAATGAAATGCCCAAACCACATAGAACTTGTTTTGCTTGATCCATTGCTTTTCAATTGAACTTGTTTGATTAAGATAGGCCCTAAGGAATGTGGTTATGACTTAAGTTTAATCTTTGATGCATGATCCTTGAGTTTGAAATTTTGGATCCCTTTTAATTGTGTGCTTCGATATACTTTTAGAGCCAAGAGTTTAAGCTTTGGTTGTGTCTAATGAGATGATTCTAGCCTTTGGCCTCGACCTTAGTGTTCATGCATCTAGACCTCGACCTTAGTCATTTCAACATGTATTTCTACCTATGCACCTCTAGTTTCTATATTGTAACACTTAAGTGTGGGGGTGTATAGAGTGAACCTAAGGATGGATTTTGTTGTTTAATTGATAAAGTGAGTTGCCTAAGGGTTTGTTAGAACATGTTTCATGATTTTTCTTTTCTAATGGCCATCCAACCGAGGGTGAGAGTGCTAGTTCTCTTACGAGCAACGTGGTGGAGAGTTGGAACAATGTGATTATAGAAAAAGGGATATGGGTCCTATATGCATGTGGGAGGGGATTAGGAGAAACTTGATGGTATTATATGCCCAAAGACGGCATGTGGTATCTAATTGGACAACTATGTTCACCTGAATATTAAGAAGGAGCTAGACGAGGCTACTAAAGAAGCATTGAAGTGGTCATCAAAAACTAATGGCAACGGTGAGTTTGAGGTAAGGTGGCACAACCACCAAGTTGTGGTCAATTTGAAGAAGAATACCCGCACCTGTAGACATTGGGAGTTGACCGGCATTTCGTGTGAGCATGCCATTCAGGCAATTAGGAGGGAAAAGCTTTTGATCAATGTAGACTAGATATCTTGACAAACTAGTAGAAGTTGACTTTTGCTTTGTCGTATTAGCTAGCCTATTAGGTCATCGTGCATTGCTCTTTTGGAGAAACACTGTCCTCGAGGTTGTAATTATCACTTGGACCTTGTAAGACTATAAGTTTTATGAATGACTATCAGGTTTATCAATCTTTCAGTATCATTGTAAGGTTCTTTTGTACAAGTACTTGCCTTCTTGTTCCAACCGAGCTGCATTCTGAGAGTGACCAATTGTGATACAACATTGCATTTGAAGTGACCAAACATAAAACCAATTTGCAATTTAAGTGACCAAACATGAAACAAATATGCAATTCAAGTGACCAATCATGATACCAATTTGAAATTTAAGTGACCAAACATGAAACAACTTAGCAATTCAAGTGACCATAGCTGAAATGGATAATACTAGGGTTACACATTATCAACAACTAAACAGAACTTTCGATTAATACCAATTTGCAATTCAAGTGACCAAACATGAAACAACTTAGCAATTCAAGTGACCATAGCTTAAATGGATAATACTAGGGTTACACATTGTCAACAACTAAACAGAACTTTCGATTACAACAGCTACAACTACACAGACGACTTATCACTTTCCTATCCAAAACAAAGAGAATACAATAGCTCCTAAAATGATGACCGTCACCATTTTTTTTATCAAACTTTGACCCTTTCTTATTTTGCCTCTTCTCTAGCTCACGAATTCGATGATGAAAGTTCAGCACCACATTTCTCATATGTCATCACGGATTGGGTCAAGCCATCTGAAGTAGTTACATGCTCAGTTTGTCTACAAATCATCGCACAAATAAATAGAAGGATGAAAAAGGCAAAATAATAGTTGAATGGTAACAATAAAAAGGAAACAAAGGTGGATGAAATCTTACCCCATATCTGCTGCACCCATAAAACCTTATCCCTGGATTCGCATCAGTCCAATTCGTCTTTAGATATGTTGTCTCTCCACAGTGACAGAAGGGTGTCACCATTGGTAGAGGGGGAGTGGGAGGAGAAAAATGAAGAAGGATGAAAGGAATAGATGGATGAGGAGGGGGCGATTCTCGGGTAGATTTAAAAGGAGGAAGAGAACATATGGTTAGGAAGATGGAAGCCTTCATTTAGAGGGGTGGACTTATAAAAAAGATCAAGAGGGGTCGGGTCTTGGGTTGGGTCTCAGGGTGGCTCGCAGGTTAGGTAGGGAGGGCTGACGTGGCGGGTCGGGTCGTCAATTTTTAGGGTTAAATTGAGCTTACTGGGATTTTCTAGGTTGCCACGTCATCACTTAACGGCCTCCGTTAACGGAGTCTGACGGAGGTTAATGGAGAGTGACTGAACTTGGAGTGTGCAACTAATTTGAATAACTACGAATAGAATAAACTAATTTCATTAGCAAACGTGAACTTTTATAGCGATTCTAGTGACCAAACTTGCAATTTAGCCTAAAGTATAATTTACCAATAATTCGTGAATAGACTAATCCTATTGAATTAAATTAATTGGATATTTTATTGGATGAATTGAATTGAACTTATGAATTGGGTACAAAATTATTACATCTACTTATAGTCTGATCGTCTAACCAAACAACATATATGATTGTATAAAATATGTAGCACACATCCAATAATGTAGGTCACATTCATTTGCTTAGATAATTCGGTCATCCCCACAATGGTAGGCTCACCATTATCTGCAGGAGCATGAGACTTCTTCCTCGATTGAGACTTTTTAACATCATTAGTGTGCCTATTTCATTTGATCATGTAAAAAGAATTTATAAATTTAAAATTAGAATTAAGAAATAGTTTCTCGAAATAAGGGGGAAACCATGGATAAATCCAAACGTTTTTTATTAAATCCAAGCGATCTTTTCATAGACGGTTTCCCTCGATCCAACCGGGAAGCGGATCCAACCTCGGATGCATAATATACCGAGTCAATTGATCCAGATCATGCAACTTACCACCCACTTGGCATGTGAACTCTTTTGAATGAGCATCTGAGCACGGACCAATTGGTCGATTGGCCGCAGCACCCACCTTCCACCCGGAGTGGACAGCTTAAACCCAAATTTTCTTGCAATCTTCCGTTTGAGTTACATATATTTTTTAAAACCATTATATCACAACATCTGTGCTAAAATCATCTTGTTCACCTCATCACTGGCGGACAAAGGGGCCCATGACACCCCCTAAATTTTGAAAAAGTGATTATCCAACACTTGATGGTAATTTATGTATAGACAAAAAATTATAATTAATAGTTCGGGACTCCCTGAAATTTTAAAAAAAAAATTATCCTATTCTCGTTCGTAGTTTGCGTATGGGAATATAAGTAGCAATTTGTGTAATTCAAACCCGGATACTATTATTATTAATAAATATAATTTTCATTAGGCTACAACTTTTTTTGTTGTTCTATTCTAAATACTATGTAATAGCAAAACCATACTCTCTATCTTTGATTATTTTCAAGAACCAATTTAGAAGTCGAATATGCGTCAGCTCGTGAATGATTATCTAGTAGAATATACCGGGACAAATTTGTTGAGCATTGTAGACACCAAGTGTATTTACCAATTTTTTCATAATATTAAAATACATGATAGACTTTTTTTAACTTGTACGAGTTTGGTATTTCTCTCATTTAAGAATTATTTTTATTTTATTTTTATTTTTATTAATTTTTATTTTAGTTTACTTTATTTTTTAAAGAGGCACTCCTATGTAAAATTCCTAGGTCCGCCACTGCACCTCATATATATAACAATTGACCCAATGAGACGTTAACCACAATACAATGACACCTACACCATCACGATCACCGTACCAATACATCCACTGATGTGTATCAAATATGGATGACTACTCTGACAAATCCTTCATTTAGGGGTCGTTTGGAGGTTGGGATTTCAAGTGATGTATTTAACCAATGCATGTAATGTCAAGATGAAGTCATTTTTTTGTTAAATTTGTGACAGAATACATGTATTACTTTTTTCTGAGCCCACCTACAATCACTCAAAATGAGTGATTATCAATTTCTACCAAAAGGTGAGATTGTGACCAATGGATTGTCTACCCTATATTTTTCATTTATAACAAAGCACAATCTAATGCATTGTGATCAATCCATGCATTGTAATATACATGCAATTAAGGAAAATGATGTAATGTACTTTTACATTGTTTGGTTTTAGTGATAGTTATTTTAGTATTCAACATCTTTGCCAATATGGTTCAGGCTAGCGTACGTCAGTCGTACATTGTACGCCCGTCGAGTTTTACTATTTAGAGCATGAATTAACCGAAATTTTGTGCATGATAATATACCCTAACCTCTAATGGATAAACCCCAGTCCCTAATTCTCTAACACAAGCCACGAGATTCATTTAATCTAAAAAATAATAGCCGACGGTTCTGATTCAGCGAAATATATTGAAGTGTAATAACCAAGTGTGAACACAGGTGTACAACGTACGACTGACGTACGCTAGTGATATTCGGCTTTAATATATCGGATTCTTGGACTTTATGTGATTATCCATGGTATGTTTTAGCCAATTGGTGCTATTTTAGGGCTCGCTAACCCGAGAATGGTTGAAAAACCATTACTACCTAGTGCCTTGAGTTTTATGTATTACAGGTGAAAAAAACACGAAAAAGAAGTTGCACCGGCAAACAATTTTCGAATGCTGGGCTCAAGGCCCAGCTGGATGGAGATTAATGACATGGGCCAATTTCTAGAGGGGCCGAAGGGATTACTTCTGTTGGTTTTGGGCGAAATTCTTGGTGAGGAAAGGACAAAAAAAAGTTGGCAATTAATTGGGTGGAAGGCTTTGGAAAAGAGGACAAAAACTTCTTCTCGGCTGGTGATTTTTGGGAAAACAAAGAGAGAAGAAAAAGAGAAGTCTTGGACGGAAGAAGGGAATTATATTGGAGGAGAAAAAGACGAAAAGAAAGGAGCAGGCGGAGAATGATTGGGCCAGGCCCAAAGGAAGAAAGGGTTTGGGCGGCCATTTTTTGGGCCATGGAATTGAATTAGAGGGCGCTGCGCAGCTGGGGGCAACAAGGAATTCTCTAGGCGGGCGGAATTAGAAAATAAAAGAGGAACGTTTGTTTTCAGCTAAGGGAGATTATTGTTTTGGTTATCGGGCAGAGTTCTTTGAGAGGGAAAGGAAGCGCAAGAGCGGCAGCGAGCTAGCGAGCAGGCGATTGAGCGATCGGCTTCTTCAAGGTTTGAGCTGAGTTCAACGAGAATGATTAGTTGGTTGGATTTTCTGAACCTAATTAGTTGTTTCTTGTTGTTTTAGAACATGATGAACAAAACCCGATCGATTTATCTTAATTTCGTCATGAACTAAACCCCAATTTCTGGGGGAAACACCATAGGATGTAGCTAGTTCTTGATTGATGGATTGATTCATATTTCTTTTCCTCCAATCTCTATTGCATGGAATTACTTAATGCTTTGTGTTGACTGGCCACCAATACATTGATTTGTAGTTGATTAGGTTATTAGCGACAGTGAAACCCTATTAACTGAACATATTTCATGTGACATAGTAACTTATCGAAGCGACAGTGGATTAAATAAGGTGCTATGCGGTCTTAAATAGGATATCGGTCTTCAGACTATATAGTTAATTCATTGAGCTACGATAGTAGGATTTGAATTAATTGTTTAGTACGTAGTAATTCCCGACAGGGATAGCTAGCACAGTAGTGATATCCTGGCTGTAGAGGTATGGATTAAATTGATTGGAATATGTGAAATAATCTGGATAGGATAGGTAGTGAATCCCGGTGTTTCTCCCAGAGCTTTCTCCCATTGATTTAAACCCGACACTTTAAGTTGCTTGTTTGATTACTTTGCTAGTAGATCATAGTTTCATCACTCATGCCATTTTCACCTATAGTTTGCTCCATAAAATTGATAGAATACAAGGTTGTACCAGTCCCTGAGAGACGATACCCGGACTTTCCGGTTTACTACAAGATAGGAATTGAAGCTATACGCTTTTGCCCTATCAAGTTTTTGGCGCCGTTGCCGGGGACTGCCATACCTTATTTTTTGTTGATTTTTGCGAGTGAACTATTTTGATCTGTGTGCTAGTGTGCAGGTGAATTTCAGGTTAATCCTTTTTGTGCATGCCTAGGAGGACAACCAGGGATTTATTGCCACTAGACTTGGAGATCGAGAAGACCTGTCGACTGAACAGGAAGCAAGTCAAGTTAGGGAAGCAGCCAACCACAACTCCTAGGCCTTCCCTAACCCAGAGAGGGCAGGCTTCATCACCTGTCGTCCCTACACCACCACCAACACCTCACATTATCGAGCCTGTCATCATGGCAGAACAGGATCGATCCATCAGGGCTCGTCTGAATCGGAGGACTGGAGCCCGAGCTTCATGTGTTGTCATTCCGGCTGGGGATGCAAACATGGAGATTACCCCAGCCTTCATCAATATGATCACTAATGGGTACACCTTCTCAGGGGCCAGCACCGAGGATCCTCATGAACATCTTCGCCGGTTCGCAAGCATTTGTGATACGATGAAGAGCCCGACTGTGTCTGATGATGCCATCCGTCTTCGGATGTTCTCATTTTCTCTGCTAGGGAATGCATCACACTGGTTCCAGAACTTGACACCCCGTTCCATCACAACATGGGGTCAGCTTGAGAAGACCTTTTTGGATAAGTACTTTCCTCCTGCCAAGGCAATGAAGAGGCAAGAGGAAATTGTCACTTTTAAACAAGCTGAGGATGAAAGTCTGACCGAGGCATGGGAGCGCTATAAGGAGCTTCTAATGAGATGCCCGAGCCACGGTCTGGAAGATTGGAACGTGATCTCCATCTTCTTCAACGGAATCAGAAGACAATTTCGAGATGCTCTGAATAATGCTTCCCGAAATGGTTTCACAAGAATGGAAGCACCAGAAGCATATGAACTGGTGGAGAAGATATGCTCTGAAGATACTGAATGGGGTAGTGAGACCGGCATTCGAAGGAGAGGAGGCTTGCATGAGATAGACAGAGTTGCAAGCTTAGAAGCAAAAATTGATGCTAAGCTGGATTCCAAGTTCGATGCACTCGAACGAAGGCTTGCTAAGTTGGCTCTTGGTAGACAAGAGGAGGTTGCTTATTGCGAATTATGTGAAGGTGCTCATCATAGGGATCTATGTCCACTGGTGGCTGATCAGGTGGAAGATGTGCACTATATGAACAATCAGAGAAATCAAGGCCAGGGTGGTATGTATTCGAATACCTACAACCCACAATGGAGGAATCATCTTAACTTTTCCTGGGCGAACAACAACCCAACTGGTGTTCGAAACATCTCACCTCCTGGTTTTCAACAGCAGCAGCCTCAACCAGAGAAGAAGCCCCAGCTGGAGGAGTTGATTTTGGCTCATATGCAGAAAACAGACAATAATTTCAAGGGCCTGGATCAATTTGTCACTCAACAGCTAGCCATCAACAATAATTTACAATCGTCTATGCTAGCTATGGAGAGGCAGATGGGACAGATGGCTCAAACTTTGGCAGATATGCAAGGCAGGATTCCTGGGACATTACCAGCAAATACTGAGAGGAATCCGAAGGATGCCATGGTTGTAGCAGTGACATTGAGGAGTGGAAAGGCCTTGGAAGACCCTAGCAGCTCGAAAAAGGCATCAGAGGCAGAAGAGGAAGCACCGGGAGAAAGATCTTGTGTAGAAAATGAAGAATCAGCCTTGCACAGGCAAAATGAAAGCAGTTTGCCTGTGCAAAAGCATGCTGCCCGTGTACCTCAAAAAATGGAAAAATTGAAGAATGAAGAGATAAAACCTTATGAACCTCCCGCACCATTCCCTCAAAGGTTAATGAAGCCCATGGAAGACCCAAACTTCAAGAAATTTGTGAATATCTTCAAGCAACTTCATATCAACATACCATTGGCGGAGGCACTTGAACAGATGCCTACATATGCTAAATTCTTAAGGGAGTTGCTGACAAAGAAGCGCAAATGGGCTGATCTGGAGAAGGTAACCCTTACTTCTGAATGTAGTGCCGTGATTCAGAATAAATTACCAGAAAAGAGGGATGATCCGGGCAGCTTCACCATTCCATGTGTCATTGGAGGTAGAGAGTTCGATAAATCACTTTGTGATCTTGGAGCAGGAATTAATTTGATGTCATACTCAGTCTACAAGAAATTAGGATTGGGAGATGTTCTTAAGCCTACTCGGATCACTCTCCAATTGGCTGATCGATCAGTAAAAATTCCAAAAGGAGTGATGGAGAATGTATTGGTGAAGGTGGGGAAGTTTATTCTCCCAATAGATTTTGTAATTCTGGAGATGGAAGATGATCGGGGAGTGCCTCTAATTCTCGGCAGACCTTTTCTAGCAACCGGTGATGCACTCATCGATGTTGGGAGAGGCAAGTTGACATTCCGAGTAGGTAAGGAGGAGGAAATTTTTAATGTCTTTCAAGTTGACCATAATCATGATGAATTTGAAAGTGGAGCTCGAGAAAGGAAAAATCCCTTTTCCTGTGATAGTGGACCATCCGAAGAACTATCACTTATCCTATCTGCTCAGATTCTGAAGTCAAAGCAAGGGCAGAAATCCTTGCCAGGTCACCTCAAGTATAGATATTTGGGTAAGGATTTCAATCTTCCTGTTATTATTCCTTCTTCACTGACATTGAAACAGGAAGAGTACCTGCTTGAGGCGCTGCAGTACCACCTACGCCTCACTAAAGGGTCTAACATGCCAGCTAAGAAGGTCATACCCAATTTTCGCACACCTGGCCCTGCAAAGGTGACTCATATGCTGGATGGAGGTTATGCGTTCTATCATTGCTCGGGAGGGTATGCTGGATACCTTTCCATACCCATTGGTTGAAAGCTCCATGAACGTCAGGCTGAGGACGTTAAACAAGCGCTTCTTGGGAGGCAACCCAAGGTAAGTTTTCTTTTCTTTATTTTTCTTTTTAGTTGTGTCAAACCCGTGCATCTTTAGAGTAGGAGTTGAACATTAGGGACAATGTTCCATCCTGAGTGTGGGGTGGCGAGTCTTAGTGTTTGATTGTTCCTTTTGTCATGTGGTCAGGTAAAAAAAAAGTAAATTTTTTTTGCCATTGGTGAGTCTTAGTGTTGTTTGTCCCTGCTGCATGTGGTAAAAACAGAAACAAAAAAACAAAAAAAAAATTCTGTCATTTGGCTATGCACAGCCAAACTGCATGCAGTTTGCCTGTGTCAAAAGCATGCTGCCTGTGCAAAGTTAATGGCTAAAAAACACCTAAAAATCAGAAAAATTAAAAACAAAACCTTGTACTCTTGTGGTAACATGATGTAAATGACTGTGATGCGTGTGATATGAGTTTGTGCTTGAATGAAATCATCGAAATCACCCCACTAGTGTTGAATTGCATGGTTCTTCACAATGAGCTTAAATGTTTTGACTGACTTGATATGCTTTGAATGAGCAAACTCTTTTAGCAACATTCTCTTTTGTGAGGATAGTGTAACGACTTATGGTGAAGTAGTTAGGTGGAGAACATTGACCACTCGATATGTTTGGATAGCGTGCTTACTTGCATCAATTGTGAGCTTTTGATTTTGCAATGAGTCTCTCTGTTTTGAATGTTTTAGGATGGGGTGAACTGTATCTTCATAAAAAAAAACACTACCTGACAAGTAAAATATAAGAAAGTTGCCATAACAATTAAAGTGTGGGTAAAAATGCCAAAATCGTGTGAGGCAATCACTCATTGCACATGGGGATGAGGAAAGATTCAATTGAGAATCGGTTCGCGACCGTACGATGTTGCTTATCAAGTACGATCCCCAGCTGAGTGAAGTGCCATTTGAGGATGCAATGACCCTCCACACGGACCGAGGAAAAGGAGTTAAAAGAAGCCCTAATGCGAGTGCTAAGAAGCAGAAATTGCTCTTGCTCGGTCACCGGTAGTAAGAAACAAATCCCACTTGTACTAAATGCGACCTCTCGGCAAGCAAAAGCAGAAAGAGAGAAAGCCTCTCCTTGTCATTAAAGGTAGTGATGTGCTTAGAGTAAAATCATGTTTGCGAAAGGCTTCCCCCATTAGTTTTTGAGACTCATGCTTAATTAATTGCTTATGATTGGTGTGAGTAAGCCAGACTGTCCTCACGAGATATGTACCTCACTGATGTGGTTAGATTCTCCTAATAATTGTTGCACCATAAGTTGTTAACCACCCACTACCGACGATCGAAGTTGAGTGTTGCTATTTGAGTTTTTGATGGATTTGAGTCAGTCAATGGTAATGGTTGCAAAGAACTTGAGTGTAGGGTGAAAGGTATGACCATTAAAGCACAACTTGTTCCTTGAGAAAGAAACTACTGATTACAACAAGAGTACAAGGAAAATTTTGCTTTGTTTTTAGTGGTGGTATGTCATTGTTATGGTTAGTTATGTGTTTGTGTTGTTTGAGTCGTTGCTTAGGGACAAGCAACAATTGAGTGTGGGGTTGTGATATTCGGCTTTAATATATCGGATTCTTGGACTTTATGTGATTATCCATGGTATGTTTTAGCCAATTGGTGCTATTTTAGGGCTCGCTAACCCGAGAATGGTTGAAAAACCATTACTACCTAGTGCCTTGAGTTTTATGTATTACAGGTGAAAAAAACACGAAAAAGAAGTTGCACCGGCAAACAATTTTCGAATGCTGGGCTCAAGGCCCAGCTGGATGGAGATTAATGACATGGGCCAATTTCTAGAGGGGCCGAAGGGATTACTTCTGTTGGTTTTGGGCGAAATTCTTGGTGAGGAAAGGACAAAAAAAAGTTGGCAATTAATTGGGTGGAAGGCTTTGGAAAAGAGGACAAAAACTTCTTCTCGGCTGGTGATTTTTGGGAAAACAAAGAGAGAAGAAAAAGAGAAGTCTTGGACGGAAGAAGGGAATTATATTGGAGGAGAAAAAGACGAAAAGAAAGGAGCAGGCGGAGAATGATTGGGCCAGGCCCAAAGGAAGAAAGGGTTTGGGCGGCCATTTTTTGGGCCATGGAATTGAATTAGAGGGCGCTGCGCAGCTGGGGGCAACAAGGAATTCTCTAGGCGGGCGGAATTAGAAAATAAAAGAGGAACGTTTGTTTTCAGCTAAGGGAGATTATTGTTTTGGTTATCGGGCAGAGTTCTTTGAGAGGGAAAGGAAGCGCAAGAGCGGTAGCGAGCTAGCGAGCAGGCGATTGAGCGATCGGCTTCTTCAAGGTTTGAGCTGAGTTCAACGAGAACGATTAGTTGGTTGGATTTTCTGAACCTAATTAGTTGTTTCTTGTTGTTTTAGAACATAATGAACAAAACCCGATCGATTTATCTTAATTTCGTCATGAACTAAACCCCAATTTCTGGGGGAAACACCATAGGATGTAGCTAGTTCTTGATTGATGGATTGATTCATATTTCTTTTCCTCCAATCTCTATTGCATGGAATTACTTAATGCTTTGTGTTGACTGGCCACCAATACATTGATTTGTAGTTGATTAGGTTATTAGCGACAGTGAAACCCTATTAACTGAACATATTTCATGTGACATAGTAACTTATCGAAGCGACAGTGGATTAAATAAGGTGCTATGCGGTCTTAAATAGGATATCGGTCTTCAGACTATATAGCTAATTCATTGAGCTACGATAGTAGGATTTGAATTAATTGTTTAGTACGTAGTAATTCCCGACAGGGATAGCTAGCACAGTAGTGATATCCTGGCTGTAGAGGTATGGATTAAATTGATTGGAATATGTGAAATAATCTGGATAGGATAGGTAGTGAATCCCGGTGTTTCTCCCAGAGCTTTCTCCCATTGATTTAAACCCGACACTTTAAGTTGCTTGTTTGATTACTTTGCTAGTAGATCATAGTTTCATCACTCATGCCATTTTCACCTATAGTTTGCTCCATAAAATTGATAGAATACAAGGTTGTACCAGTCCCTGAGAGACGATACCCGGACTTTCCGGTTTACTACAAGATAGGAATTGAAGCTATACGCTTTTGCCCTATCAGCTAGCCTTTGCCAATATATATATATATATGGCAAAGGCTAGCGTACGCACGGACATACCCTACTTTACCGTACGCTCGTTGAGTTTTGCTATTTAGACAATGAATTAACCGGAGTTTGGGGCATGATATTATACGCTAACCCTTAATGGGTAAACCCTAGTCCGCAATTCACTAACCCAAAACATAATATTCATTTAATCTCGAGATGAAAATCAACGGTTCTGATTTGTCGAAATTATTGTTTATTTTCATTTCAAGATTAAACGAATCTCATGATTTGGGTTAGAAATCTAGGGACTGGGGTTTATCCATTAGTGGTTAGGGTATAGTATCATGCCCAAAACTCCGGTTAATTCATGATCTAAATAGCAAAACTCAAACGGACGTACGGTAGTCTAACGTACGCCCAGGCGTACGGTAGTCTAACGTACGCCCAGGCGTACGCTAGCCTAAACCATATATATATATATATGTTCAGGTTAGTGTACGTCAGTCGTATGTTGTACGTCAGTCGTATGTTGTATGGCCGTCGAGTTTTACTATTTAGAGCAGGAATTAACCGAAATTTTGGGCATGATACTATACCCTAACCTCTAATGGATAAACCCCAGTCCCTAATTCTCTAACCCAAGCCACGAGATTCATTTAATCTAAAAAATAATAATCGACGGTTATGATTCAACGAATCAGAATCGTTGATTTTCATTTTTAAGATTAAACAAATCCCATGCTTTGGATTAGTGAATGGGGGACTGGGATTCACCCATTAGGAGTTAGGGTATAGTATCATGTCCCAAACTCTAATTAATTCTTTGTCTAAATAACAAAACTCAATGGGGCGTACGGTAGTCGGTAGGCTAGCGTACGCCCGGACGTACTCTAGCATTTGCCATATTATATATATATATATGGGGAGTTCTACGGTACCCAGGGTGAAATCGGGGGTACCACATACCTTGAGTAAGAAAACGCTATCCAGAACTTGAATTGACCGATTTTTCGGACATGATACTATATTCTAACCCTTAAAGATCAAAATCTAGGTCTTAATTCTCTAAATCTTATACCCCAAGATCAATTTAATTAGTAACAATAATTGACGGTTATAATTCGTCCAAATATAGGCAAAAAAATCAATGCACCATCTTAGGGTTTAAAGTTTATGATTTAGATAATTAGGACCTATGGTTCACTCATTAAGGGTTAGGGTATAGCAGTTGCGGACCCAGGAATTTTTCATAGGGATGTCCTCTTTTAAAAAATAAATTTAGTAAAAATAAAAATAAAATAATTAATAAAAATAACATTGTAAATTAGAAAATACCTTACTCGTACAAGTTAAAAAAAGTCCATTATGTGTTCTCATATTCTGAAATAATTGTAGAATACACTTGGTGTCTACAGTGTTTAAAAAATTGTCTCTATATACTCTACTAGACAATCATTCACGAACTTATCGCATATTTGATTTGTAAACTTGTTCTTGATGTAACCCAAAGCTGAAAGAATCTTTCAACACTTTACGTACAACCATAAAATCAATACAAATTAAGGGTAGATTGAAATTAGTTTAATTGCTATGTTTTGAAAATAATTAGAAATAGGGAATGACATTTTACTATGATACAATGTTCAAAATCAAACAACAAATGAGTTGTAGTTTAATGAAAATTAAGTTTGTTAATAATAACAGTGCTCTAGGTTTGAGTTACCCAACCTATCACTTATATTCCCATACACCAATTTAAATAATGACATTAGAATAATCATTTTTTTTCAAATTTCAGGGGTGTCCCTCACTAGTCACTACCAATTATAATTTTTTTACCGATACGTAAATTACTACCGTGGGTTGAATAATCGTTTTCCCAAAATTTAGGGGTGTCCCGAGACACCCCTAAACCTCCGTGCGTCCGCCCCTGGGGTATAGTATCATGCCAAAAAATCATGCTAATTCGAGGTCTAGATAGCATTTTCATACCCAAGGTATGCGGTACCCCGGATTTCACTCGGGGTACCATAGAAGGCGCCATATATGTATATATAACTAGGGTATAGTTGGAATCAAAAAGAACCATGAATCTCCTCAAAACTATCTCACCAATCTCAAGTTTTAGTAGAGATAGTACTCAGGGGCGGATACATGGGCCTCTATGGGTATCCCGGGACACCCCTAAAATTTGGGAAAACGATTATCCAACCTCCGGTAGTAATTTTGTATGGGTATACAAAATATAATTGGTAATCCGAGACACCCTAACATTTAAAAAAATGATTATCCTACCCTCGATAATAGTTTGCTTATGATTACCAAAATATAAGTGGTAGTCCGTGTTATTCCAACCTAGGACACTACTATTATCAAACATATTCTAATTATGTTGCTACTCATTTGTTATTCTATTTTAAACATCATGCAACAGTAAAACACTATTTCTTTATCCCCAACTATTTTCAATACCTAATAATTAAACTACGTACACGCTATCCTTAATTTTAAATTGATTTTATGGTTACACGGCAAGTGTTGAAAGAGTCTTTTCTACTTTGAGCTACATTAAGAACAAGGTTAGAAATCGAATATGTGATAAGTTCGTGAAGTATTGTCTAGTAGGATATGTAGATTTTTTGAACAGTGCAGACACGGAGTTTATTTATATTATTTTTTCAAAATATGAATTTTAATTTATTATTTAATAAAAAATTTATACAAATTATACAAGTACGATATTTTTAATATACGAATTATTTAATTTATTATATAATTAAATTTAATTTTTGAAGAAGACACCCCTGTAAAAATTTTCTAAATCCGCCACTGATAGTACTATCACTCATTTTGAGCGATAGTTTCCATCACACCAAGCAAACACTGCATGTATTGTTTGTGCGGATAGTTAAAAAAAAACAATGCATTGTAAACAATACATGCATTGTAAGTTTGTAACTATCCCAACCAAACTATCACCAAAACCAAACGACCCTAAATCTCCAAACAAGATATTTTTCAAATTCATACATTTCATCATCGATACATCCAACCTCCAAACAACCCTTAAAAGCAAATTCATCATTTAAATGACTCGATACATGCATTTATTCGAAGTGCATCTATGCCTGCTGCTGCCACGCGACCTTTTCTTGTCTTAGGCCGTGGCCCATGCCTCTCGTAATCTCAACGATTAGGCCGGCTGAAGAAGTTACAATCCACAGCGGCCATCGTCAGCTCTCAGCTGGCTGCTTCTGCGAAACGACATCGTCTAAACTGATCGTTGCAGTCTATCTTCATTGCACACGTGGCGACATCCCCGTACTCGGAATCAGTCCTCCAGTTCCAGTACCCAAAAAGTTATGTGCAGGCAGAGCATCTCTGCTCGAGTTACAGCTTCCCACCTTCCTACTGATACAGAGAAACTCGGCTAACGGCAAGCGCTGTCGGCAACCTGGAAGATCGGAGGCTCATCTGGGCGGTGGAGCTGAGATGAATTTGTAAGCTAATGAGAAGAAAGGCCTGAGGAAAAAAGAGGAGGAAACGAAAGCTAAGCAAATATGCAGGGGTTGAGTCTCCAAAGATCGCCATTCATTTCTCCGGCGAGGTTTCCGTCCTTGACTCCGGTGGATTCATTGCCGTGTTGCGTTAGCTTCTCCACATCGAAACCCATCTCTACTTCAAGTAAGCTCTCATTCCCCCCCACAACTTCGTTTCTGCGATAAAAGCATGCTTCTCGAGTTGTGAATTTAGATAATCTTGTGGTGGCCACTTGTAGTCAAATGCTTTGCATTAGGTAATCAGGATTTGGGTGCAGTGTAATCCATCAAGAGGATGTCGAATTGGCATATGCTCCAATTAGCATTAATATCTGTCTAAATCAGGAATACCCATGCAGCTAGTCACAAATCTGCTGAACTTGGATCGATTTTCTCTTAACCTTCCTTGTAGCTAGATTCAGAGATATCACAAGGCTCAATTCCTCCCTTCGAACGGTTAGAGCTCAGGCATCCAACATTAGCGTTGGATCAGGGGGATATGAAGGTCGGGAGGAGCAAGATAAGCAGGAAGAGTTGGTGAATGGACCAACTGACAGTTCATCTGAAATGTGAGTGACAATGGTGTGTGCGTGCCTTTTACTGTCTTCCTTAAGACCTTAATGAAACAGCCTAATGACACTTTATTTTTACCCTTCTGATTGTGCAGCGCGAAACCTCCCACCAAAATTCCTTATCCCTTATCTATAGCTCTTGTGCTACTTGGATGCGCTGTGGTATATTCCCTTATCGTCTTTGTGAAGGGTAAACCTTCTGCTATCTTGGCTGCAATCTCAAAGTCGGGATTAACTGCTGCATTCTCGTTGATATTTGTCTCAGAAATTGGGGACAAGGTGAGTTAACCAGTTTAGTGCCACTATTATTTGTCACAAATGGAACTGAACTAGTATCAAAGGAAAGATTGTTAGTAGTCATGGTTGCCAAAGTAATTTTTTCAGTCTAAGAACTCCTTCGATTAGCCTAAATAGTGCTTTGTGTTTTGCTGACCAGACATTTTTTATTGCTGCACTCTTGGCTATGCAATATGAGAAAGGACTGGTATGATCTCTCTCACTCATATTCTCCTGTTCCTGTTTTCCATATTGAGAGGAATGTTCGCAGTGATGAATAAGTTGTTCCCTTTTGAATCAATCCTTGACAAGGTTCTTTTGGGCTCAATGGGCGCTCTTTCACTCATGACCATCTTGTCAGTTGTCATTGGACGTGTATTCCGGTCAGTGCCGGCTCAATTCCAAACAAGTAAGTAGTTTCAAGGTTTTGCCATCCAGCCCATGATTTTGCTGCTGTCGTGATTTATTTTCCCTGAAAAGTTATACATGAGCATTCATGTAGCCTCATAAAAATGTATATTATAATAACTTTCTGTCATTTCTGTGTTACTTTTACCTCATTGGTACGAGTACAGCCCTTCCAATTGGAGAATATGCAGCAATTGCTCTTCTCTTGTTCTTTGGGCTAAAAGCAATCAAAGACGCATGGGATCTTCCATCAGCCGAGGCGAAGAATGGTGAAAAGAACAGCCCTGAACTAGATGAATATGCTTCAGCTGAGGAGCTTGTGAAGGAAAAGGTGATTATTTATAAATTGTAACAAGGGGATCACTGAACCTGTTGTGTGCTTTATGACTAAACTGCTTTGAATAGATTTAGAGCTTTTTGGTGATTTTGGTCCAGTACTTAATAAGTCATTACTCCCATTGCTTCAGCTATCAAAGCCGCTCACAAATCCATTTGAGATCGTCTGGAAGTCATTCAGCCTTGTATTCTTTGCTGTAAGGATCTTTGCCTTCTTGCTATGAATGCACAAGCTGTGCCGGTTAACACTAGTAATACCAGCCTTACTTACTGTAGTGTTGCTAAGCAAAGTTTCATATTATTGGCCAATAACAGATCTAGTAAGTCTCCATCTGCTAAAGCTTTGCATTACTGAAATTTCTTAATTGCTTCCAGGAATGGGGAGATCGCTCAATGCTTGCCACGATCGCCCTTGGTGCTGCTCAGGTTCAGATTTCTGGAGCACTCAAACCTCGTATATGAAATGATCATCAAAACATGCACAACCTAGCTGTTGCTTATGTATCATGTTTTCACCATTTTTCTTCAACAGTCTCCATGGGGTGTTGCAACTGGAGCCATTGCCGGACACCTGATTGCTACATCTATCGCTATAGTTGGGGGCGCATTTCTTGCCAACTACATCTCTGAAAAGCTTGTAAGAACAATAATCTTCTGGTTGCTAGTTACTACTTTATGATTTTATGATCTACATTATTGCTCTCTTCTTCCAACGGCCATTACTCACCAAAGCTTTCTCTCATCATCAGGTTGGCTACGTAAGCGGAGCGCTCTTTCTCATTTTCGCTGTCGCTACATTTTTCGGCGTCTTCTAATGAGAATCGCTGTGGGAGTCCAACCATAGTGCACTGTGGTTCAACTTGCAGAGGGATGGTGCAGCTCCAGCTCTGCGGGATGCTGGGCAGAGAGCTATCGAACAAGCATTAATGTTTCCCATGTGTGAATTTGTAATCATACACTCATAGTGTGACAGAGAGTTGTTCAACTAATAACCTATCTTTGGAGGCAAGAAGGTGTAGCATTTCATTGTATTGTAGTAGAAGAGTCCCAAAATGTTGAGTGTCACTGGGAGTTTTGTTGTAACAGTAGATCGATCACTTTAGGAACCTCAGTTAGACTCTGTTCTTGCATTTGAGAGGACGAACTTCTTGGTAATGACAAATTTGTGCTAGTAGTTCTTCATTGTCTTCTCACATGTGACTTAAGAACTTCTTTCAAGCATCTTTTGCTTCTGGCTCAGCTTCTGCCAGCCGCATTTTTGCCTTGTGACATTTCCCCTTGTTAGTTTGCTCCATAGACCCATGTTTGTGCGGATGAGAAGTTAAATGAGTGGTACAGAAAACGCCACGAGTCCTTGGAAGAACAACCAACATCTTCTTCTTCTTCTTCCCCACTGATGTACAAGTCCTCGGACTGGGAGTTCCAAAACTTGAAGCCAGAAAAGATGTCAAGGGCGCCATCGTTTTCCATCCATGGTGATATCAGCTGCTCTCTTCCACAACGCAATCTCACTTCTTTCACCTCCCAATTCAGAATGAAACCCTTTCCTAAATTTTCAACAACAATGATGGGCGCTTGCTCATTTTCAATAAGACAGAGAGCCACCAGTAGCGGTCGGAGAAAGTCGTCAGCTTTCACCTCGGCAGCCGCGGCAGGAGGTGGAGGAGTGCCGCACCCGCCGCTTGATTTGACAGAGGAAAATGTTAGACTGGTGTTGGCTGAAGCCAGAGGCGAGGCAAGTAGTTTCTTGTTCCTTTCGTAGCAGGTGCTGCAATTTTGATTGTTACTCAAAGATCAACGTCTCATGCATATGTCTGTGTGTTCTTCCTTGGTGGCAGCTTGGGCAGCTGTTCGACGGCGAAGTTGGGATAACAGGTGATTTCCTTTCCTCCTACTGTCTATCTCAAGTCTAAACCAGCTAAGGTACATTATGGATAAAGATTACATGGGCCATTTGTTGGTGGCTGAATCATTAACTTTGCAGGGCAAGCTGAACTTGCTGAGTTAGATGGGCCATTTGTGAAGATTAGTCTCAAAGGTCGGTTCTGGCACGAACGATCCATGATTCTTGCTAGGCTTGGCAATTATCTGCAGCAGCGAATTCCTGTAATTTGCACTCTGGCTCCTCTTTTTCATCTGCTCATGTTACATCACATCTCTTTGTTTCCAAATGAAGTTAAATATATTTTGTTCTTGTATCAGGAAATCTTGGAAGTTGAGATTGAGGACGAGAAAATGTTGGACGACAGCCCTGCAAATTTCTGAGGCACGAGCTGCATTCCGCGCGGGAAGAAAGGATGAAAGAACTCTTTGCCCTGTCTTTAACACGATCCATCCAAGGGTTTACAGGGTCCTAGCTAGAGCCATTGATCTCTACGACTGTCACTGTAGTGTCTCATTTCGAGGTTGTCTAATAATCGATGCTTCTCTTTTTCCAATCCAAATCGTCTGTGTAATGCGTTATGTACGATCCAATTGTGATCAGAGCCTTGTCATGTCAGGAAACGAAAGCTGTTCACTTTGATGATGGGGAGATGATCCAATAGCAATCAGGTGGTCCGGACTCTGGACAGACACTCTGAACCTGAGGCATTCTTTCTTATAAAAAGTGGGGGGAGTCGTAGTAAATAATCAGAGTGATATAATTAGTTACAAAACTTGACCAGCCCCTCCTTTTTTGGGCTCTTGATCTCTGTTTCTACGTGTAGTAAGTGGGTATCATTCAGTGGGAAACACATCATTCAGATATACACTGCTGAGACCGGAACCGTCTATTTGACAGCATTTCAACAATACGCTTCTCGAGCCTCGCCGCTCCTTTGCCAGGTCTCAGAACATTGGCATCCCCCCAAACCGAACATGTACCGTTCGCAGGGTCTCCTAAGCACCAACCACCAGGCACAATTTCCCTAGCGCTTCTCCCAAGGACGTCACTGTCGATCCGGTCAAGCACCGGATCGTCAGGCTGGAACTCGGTGGCGAATACAGCTCCACTCTTGATCATGGCATCAAAGTCGGTGGAGTTTAGGGCACGGGGCTCCTGCCTGAAGGACTGATCCAGGATTTTGTACTGCAAGTCCTGGTTTATGACCGTCCTGTTGAATTGAGGAGAGTTGCATAGCAGTGTGGGGAAGTAGCTGGTTATGGAAGACATTGTGTTTGAGAAGTACATCAGCAAGATCCTCGGGAGGTTGTCTGTACCTAGGATGCAGTGCTCGACGAAGCTACGACTGAGAAATGAGAAGGAAGAGCCTGCAGGACAGAGAAGTAACTGGTGTTTTAGTCATCTACGTCTCGAATTTCCGGTGGACAGCAGCACAACATAGTTTAAGAGAGATTGAAGTTACACGCAGCAGTCTTTAACTATGAAATCAAATGGCAATTAACCATAATCATGTAATAAACCGCTCATAATCCAAAAATGACACAGGAACTGTCATTTACAGAACCTGCAACCTTTGTTTGTTGAAGAAGGGAAGGCTTAGTTCACTAATAAGAGTTTCCAACTCGAGCAGGACTAAACCTAGGCCGTCTTTTGTCCAATTGAAGAACACAATACACTAATTAGGAAAAGTTCAGAAGGCAACAACCATTATGAAGTGCAGACAATAAGCAGGCTTCTCCACAAACAACATCCTATCCATGCCATATGCAATCCTGAATCCGGAGCCGTAATTGGAAACAGCCTCGTCTCTTTGAACCGCATTTTCACTCCCAATGCAGACGCCATCATCCACATTCCTATATAGCTATCTCTCTCATCATCTCTCTTCCCACTACTCCATAAAACTTGGTACTTTTGGCACCCAGAATCATGGGAAAACAAACACCCTGAAAAGCTACATAGAAAAAGGAAAAACACAGACCTGTAAATAGCTTGAAAGAAGTAGGCAACGGTCGCCGCTGTGTGGCATGGAACATGTAGCTTTTCTCGGCCAGATAAAGCCCTGGATCAACAATGATTGGTTTCAATCTTCTAGACCTGCAAACCCACCCAACATTTAACAAAACACAATCATCACAACCCCCAACGAAACAGTGGATTGTAGACGAGCAAATTGGTACAAGGATCGGGTGGGAAGAAACAAAGAAAACGAAGGAAAAGTCAAAATTTACTCTTTCCAGCCAATGTAATTACTGTGACTCACGAAATTGAGACCTTTGGGCAAGTAGGCGAAAATGTGGAGTAGATCTGCAGAAAAAGGAAAAATCAAGCCACAAAATTGATTAGAATCCAAACCCAATTGGAAGAAATTGCAGATTCCCCATCGTGGAGAGTGAAGGAAAGTTACCATCTTGGGTCACAAGAGGGTAATCGGCGGCTCCCAGGCTGACAAACCAATCCCAATTCTTTGACAACTTCAGCAACAGAGAAGCTCCGTGTAAAGTAGCCGCAACCGGCGACGACCCTCTCCGGTAAGTAAAATCCGGTTTCCCAATCACATCCACATTCTGGGCGGCCCGAAAAACAGGGACCGATTCGACGGCCAGGGCCAGCCTGTCCCGCTCCGACGGCGGGGCGGAGAGGTCGAGGTGGAGCAAGTAGCGGTTTTTCGGGTGGTAGACTGCGGAAAGGAGGCGGAGGATCCGACCGGAGTCGCCTTTGGATCCGGTAATCAGGTAGGCGACGGAAGGCGGGGCGGGATCGGAAGGGATTTTGGAGAAGGTGGGCTGCCGGGTCGGGAAGAGGCGCGGGTCGGGTTGGGTACGGGCGGAGGAGGAGGCGGAATTGGGGGAGGAGGATGAGAGGGAGAAGATGAAGAGTAGGGAGAAGAGCGAGATGGTTAGGAGGACGGAGATGTTGGTGGGTCTGCGGCCGTTGTCCTTGCCGGCGGCGGTGGGAGTCGTTGGGCGCGGCGACGGCGGCGGCAGTTGGTGCTGGTGTTGCATTTGCATCTCCGCCGATCTGGAGTGGGGAAGGAGTTGTGTGTATTGGGATGTCGTCTATATGTTTTCTTCTTCTATCTATGGGCTGACGAGATTCTTTTCTTGAGTGTATCAGTCGGAGTTCCCAATTTCCTCGGAGGAGAGTTGTGGTGTTCGGTCTGGTCTCTAGGCCTCAATTATTGGGCTGTGTCGTGGTGTCGGAGTCTTTTACTCTTGCCGCCAGAGGGTAGAAACCAGAGTGAGTTTGTTTTTTTCTCCTTCCTTGTCATTCTCATTTCCCAGAGTAATTATTTATTCTAAATCCACCCAAATTATTAAAACATAAAAATAACCTCAATAACAAATAGTTATGCTGCACCCTACCCAATCATCTTGTTGAATGTTTGAGCCAAGATACTCTGGTCCCACTGGTCGATATGTGGCCGGACAGACTCGCGACACGGGCGCCAAGATCCTGCAAAGACAAGCGCCTAATGGGCTATAGGATGCCTGTTAGCCCTCCAACGCTCAAGTCAGTGTCAAATCTAGAGAGATAAGTGTTATCCGAAGTTTTAGTGAGAGAAGTCAACCTGCGTAAATGTCACCTACCGAGCACTATTTATACTCGTCGAAGTCCCGACCGTCCTCCTGGAATTCAGCCCCACGTCATCACCTCATTTAATACTTGGTACGGTCCAACGGTTGGGCGCCTGTACGTGGCCGCTCCTTGACGTTCCTAAGGAGGCGCCTAGCAGGGACCACGCCCGCTAGGTGGCCACTTCTTGGCATTCCTACTTCGTACCATTTGTCTTCATCCTCTTTTGTCGTTATGCGCCTATTCTACCTAGTGTGGCCCTCATTCACTTTCTTGGGCTAACCTTCTCATGTGGCCCTCATTCACTTTCTTGGGCTAACCTTCTCATCCTTCTCATAGGATTAGGCCTAACCAGGCTCATGTCCCCCTGAGGCATGTTCATGTTAGCCCAACATTGAATTTCCGGTTGGAATGTATTGAATCTCTCTTGGCAGTTTGGATTTAGAATTTTGATACGAGGGATTTTTTGGAATGTATTGAAGCTCCTGTGTTAATTACTTAGTCATCACTTCAATCGCCTCTCAATCACAACATCTGAGCTTTCTCCTTGCTTTAGTCGTCGCGACTACCACCCAAGCCCTAGAGAGATAGAGAGAGCGCCCGCGAGATTGAAAGTGGGAGCGAAGGGCAACGTCACGACGCAGACCCCACTCTTTTTCAGTCTCGAAGCCTGTTGGCCAGTTTAGATTCCCATATGTGGAACTCGAGAGGTGAGGTAGGGGTGGGCATACGGTTCGGTAAAACCGAACCGAACAGAACCGAATATAAACCGAACCGAAACCGAATTAATGTTATTCGGTTCGGAATTCGGAAGAGAAAAGGGCATATTTCGGAAACCAGGGTCCTTTCGACCGAACCGAATTTCCGAATACCGAACCGAAAAACCGAATTATTATAATTGCAAGCTCTAAATGGTGGATTTTTATGTTTCTACTTATTATGAGACTTAAATATTTGAATTATGTTAGTGTTTTATGACTTATGTGTTGAAATGTTTGATTTTATCATTGATGATACATATTTATTGTTTACATTAGGGTGAAAGATAATTTAAAAAAGAGAAAATACAAGCTAACCTCACTATTTCGGTTTTGTATGAAAAACCGAACCGAACCGAATTATAATTCGGTTTGAACCGACCGAACCGAATTATAATTCGGTTCGAATTCGGTTTGAGTTTTGATAGAATTCGAAAATCCGGTATGCATAATTTCGGTTCGGTTTGAACCGAACCGACCGAATGCCCACCCCTAAGGTGAGGGAACAAAAAGGGGATGTCGAGAGATATGATGCTCAGAAAACAATACCTCACCACCATGTGGCAACCTAGGTAGATGTAGTAAGACTTTCGTCTGCAACCTCGGAAGATGTTCTATCACTAGTGGTGAACTGAAAGGTGCTATCAAAGGGCTTAGACGGGAATGAAGTGATGGATACAAGGAGGTGGATCTCAATCACCAAGAACTGTAACGACGACGATCAGAAGCACTGGCTTTTTGCTAGCTCTGTGAGACACTTTTTGAGCTTGGATTAGGAGGTGATGATCAATCATGTTTATAGATAGGGCAACTTTGCAACTGATTATCTCGCTAATATGGATTATTGATTATTGTTGCCCCTTTGACACACATTCATTCGAGTTATGCGAACTGTCACAACTGTTTGTCTGCGAACCGTGAAATTAAAGGATTCGACAAAACAAGAACAAACACGACACATTGATTTATGTGGTTCACTAACACAATGTGTGTTAGCTAGTCTTCAGACAGGATATAGTCAGTTTCGCTATACTTTGAGGAGATATCGATTGCAGAGGAGTATGAGAAGTATTTATAGTACTTCTCCATGTGGTCTAATCCTAATCCAATATGGTAAAGATAAAAATGGTTATAACTAGGCCCAAAACAACAAATCCAAATGTGTATCGGCCCGTAGTCCGATTCAAATCAAATCAATACGATTAGTGAACTTAGGTGTTGATTGTATCACGATATTTCACTAAGTTGAATATCTTATATGGAATAGGCACCTAAGGCGCAATCTTTCTATAAATAAACCATCAATCTCCAACAGGTAACTGCGAAAATATCTCACAAACATGATCAATCGATATTAAAATTGGTCTTAATCAGAAAAAATTGGGACTTTTTATAGAAAATTAGATATATAAATGAGGTAAAAAGCTATAAGAACAACCAAGAACCCTATGCAATGCACCATACCCGGATGAATTGAGATTGTTAAAATGCGGATCATGTTCAAGGAAAGAAAAAGTAACCAACAGCCATTGAATTTGATCAATGCGACGATAAATTCCCCTCTCCTCTCTTCTTCCATTTCCATTTACCACCCAGATGACAGAGGCTTCTTCTTCAGCCATGCAACACAACGACAACGACGGGGAATCGAACCCGTACCCGGCCCACTGGGGTCCGACGGCCTGGGCCCTGCTCGCCGATCTCCGGCAGCGCTGCCCTCTGGTCCAGTGCCTCACCAATTTCGTCTCCATGGACATGGCCGCCAACACCCTCATCGCCGCCGGCGCGTCCCCGGCAATGATCCACTCTCTGGGAGAGATCCCTGACTTCACCCCTCAGACCCACGCGCTCTGCGTCAATGTGGGCACACTCTCCCCCTCCTGGGTTCCTGCCATGAAAGCCGCTGCAGAGCTGATGATTAAGTTGGGGAAGCCTTGGGTTCTTGACCCAGTTTCCGCTGGCGCTTCTGGGTTCCGCTTGAATACTTGTTTGGCACTCGTCGGGTTGAAGCCTACCGTAATTCGAGGGAATGGGTCTGAGATCATTGCTCTGTCCAAGGCTTCTCTCGGTGCCTCCAAGGTATTCGATTAAATGTCTAGCTGGGTTGTCTCGGTATTGGATGAGCTAAAATTGTATGCTTTTGATGTGCAATTGATCATTGATTGAGTTTTTCCATGTTCAATCAAGGGTGTAGAGAGCGCCCATGGGTCGTCCATGGATGCACTAGAAGCAGCCAAATCCTTAGCTAAGTCGAGCGGATCCGTAGTTGCAGTGTCAGGAGCTGTTGATATTGTCACTGATGGCAATCGAGTTGTTGGTGTTCATAACGGAGTTCCCATGATGCAGAAGATCGCAGCAACTGGGTGTGCAGTCACGGCATTCATAGCTGCCTTTGTTGCTCTCGACCCATCACATCCTCTGGAAGCAACAGCCTCTGCCCTCTCTGTATTCGGCATTGCAGGCGAGCTCGGAATGGTTCTGGCGAAAGGTCCTGCTTCGCTACGGGTGCACTTGATCGATTCCTTAACCGCACTTGATGAAGCTGCTTTGCTATCTCGAGTAAGGATCACCGATATGTAAGGCTGCAAGCGCAAGCTCGTAATATCTCGGTAATGTGTCTGTGACTAATGGCGTACAGAGTTTGCATAGATTAGTCTTGGCATGAATCAGCATCATCTATATGTATGAATAAAGGAGCTGTCAGTTCATTTCCAGCCGCATTTTCATTTCACTGCATCGCATACTTCTTTTTAAAAGTAGAAAAGTTCATTCCTTTGTAGCTCACACCATAGATAATCACAACCATTTTACAATGTAGATCAAACAAATTGAAACATCATCAATCCATTCAAGACAAAGTTAGGAAGAAAAACAAAGCAAGATCCTTTTTTGTTGTTTGTTTTTTTGGTTTAGTACTTCAGATGAACGGTGACCCTGAGCAATGTCTCAGCACCATCTGTGACATGCTGTCCAGAAGGGATGAGCCCTCTCACATTGGCACTCCCGATTGCATGCTTGAACTTTCCGGTTCCACCTGTGACCGACAAATACGACATGGGGCTGCCGATCTTGTACACTCCATAGAAGTTGATGCTATCACCAAACTCCCCACCTTCGAACATGGCGGTGAACGACATCATCTGGGTGCTGCCATCTGCAGAACTCGCCACATAAACACCTTGAGCTTTGCCAAGCTGCTGTGACCCGAAGTCAGGGGTGGAAGTCAGGATATCATCAATGACGGTGATGGTCCCGAACCCGAGCCCCAACCCATCCGGTCCCAGCTGGGTCTGAATCTGATTAACATTGTTCTGGTTCTGACCATTTGCTTGGCCTCCAGCATAACGGGTTCCAGCCAAGCCCGTCCCCAGAGGGATGCCGTTGATGTTGACAGTAGGGAGGGCGCCATTCGCGTTTGGGATAGCTACTCCGCCTTTGGGAGGAACGAACCCAACTGGCCTTGCGAAAGGCACCTGACCACTGTAGATGTTCCCTAGCAAACCGGTGATCGGCCTGGCTGTGGGGCTGCTTCCGCCGAGAATATCATGCATGTAGAACTCCAGAATGGGGTCTTCAGCAGCAGGTTGTGCTGGTATTGGTTCCGCGGCAGTCGCAGGAGCTGCCATGTATGTTGCAGCAAATATGAGGGAAATGAAAACAGTGGATAGCATTGAGGTGATTGGGGACATTGTTTTTGTGTAGATTGGGGGTTTGGGAAAGCTTTTCTTGTTAAAATTAAGGAGCTCTAGATGGTTTAGTGAGAATGGCAAAGCTGGAACGATGGCTCTTTGTAAGCCATCGATTATTGGAGTAGTTGATTATGAGAGTGAAGTTGGTGGAATTAATGCAAAATTTGTTGGAAAAGGAAGGGTTTTCAAGCCTTAGTGAGTTGTGATTTTCCATTATAAGGGCATTTGAGATAACTAGTTGTAGTAATGCGAGTGAAGTTGTTTGGATTTGGAAATGGTTTAGTTGCGGAAGAAGAACCGATTAAGCTTTCTTTTTTTGGGTGGAAATGTGAGTGAATTCGGTTCATGATTGGATCGAATTGCGATATGATTGAATAAAACGTGGAAGAAATAATAAGGGTAAAATTGGATTAAAAGCACATATGTTTGGTTCAATTCGATTATGTCCAATTATAACTTTGCTCAATTTTTTTATATTGACTACAATTAATCAAAGTTAAACTCGAATCGAATTATATTCAACCTAGTTCGATTTGAATCGATCCAAATATTAGTCTAGGCCTCTAGGGATAATGGAACGATTAGCTATACCTATAAGTTAATAGTTTAATCATTAACCCGCATGTCTCTATCAGCTCCGTTATCAAAATCCAAATTGTTATCAGGTTACCTAACCTTAATATATTAGTCAATTAACCCCCACCTCTCAGTCCTTGTTTTCGTAACAACGAGAATAATTCACCACATAAAAATAAAGGTATATGGTAAAATTTCTTCTGTTGTCTTGATAACAAAAGAAGAGTTCAGGTTCAAGCCATTGCAGGAGTTAGAGTCGCACCTTCTTATAGCTATTAGCAAACCTCTATTCACCTACACAATGATGGTCACATTTCTTGTTTTCGAAAGAGGAATGAATTCCCAGGAAGCTGCTGCTTTTGAAATGGTGATGTGTAGATTATGTTGTTTACCTTGGAATGCAAGGAAATAGTAAGTCATTGCAGTAAGCAGGGCGGACCCAGGGAGGTTTGACACCCCTAAATTTTGAAAAAACGATTATCCAACTTCCGGTGGTAATTTACGTATAGAAAAAAAATATAATTAATAGTTCGGGACACCCTAAAATTTGAAAAAAAATCATTATACTACTCTCGTTTGTAGTTTGCGCATGGGAATATAAGTGGTAGTTTGGGTAATTCAAACCCGGGACACTACTACTATTAATAAATATAATTTTCATTATGCTACAAATTTTTTTGTGGTTCTATTCTAAACACTGTGTAATAGCAAAATTGTAGGAAACATAAATATTGGGGTGGTTAGGGGGTTAGGCAGCCGATTAGTGCCAAGTAGATTAGTAGGGTATCATTAGGTTTTTGGGCTTATTTCCCTATAAATATGTATTTGAGTCATTACGTTGGATTTGGTCAGAAATCAGTAATCAAACCATATTCAGTTTATCCCTCTTCTTCTCCTAACCCCTAATTCCCAATTCTATTCTTCCTATCTCAATTTCCCAATTATTCTTCTCAAAATCCCTAATTATTTCTCTCAATTCCTAAATATCTTTCTAATCTATCTGGCTACGTTAATCACAAGTTATCGCAGAATCATAGTTCCTTCAAAAACCCTAGTCTCTATCTTTAATTATTTTCAAAACCTAACAATTAATCTAATTACAAGCTACCCTTAATTTATGGGTGTACGACAAGTGTTGAAGTGTCTTTTCAGCTTTGAGTTACACCAAGAACAAATTTAGAAGTCGAATATGCATTTGTTCGTAAATGATTGTCTAGTAGGATATACCGAGACAACTTTGTTGAGCAGTGTAGACACCAAGTGTATTTTACAATTTTTTCACAATATGAAAATACTTATGAACTTTTTTTAACTTGTACGAGTTGGTTATTTTCTTATTTAAGAATGATTTAATATTTATTAATTATTATTTTTATTATTATTTATTTTTTGAAAGAGGACACCTCTATATAAAATTTCTGGATCCGTCAATGGCAGTAAGCATAAGTGCTGTCCATGTGATGTAAAATATGTTGAGAGCACATTTAAGTCTATGTCCATAGAAGAAGTACATTGCCGGAATCCCACACAGCGTAACTATGTAAAAGAATGTTGACATTAAATAGTCCAAAGGAGCGTAACTATATGTGTAATGAACCAGCTTCAAACATGTTTGTTTTTCCTTGGTTGAGAAGAAGTCAGAACTCAGAAAAATGGCTTGTTCAAAACTTCAGTCTTCAAAAACGGGAAAAATGACAGAAGTAAGCAATTGCCCTCACGCAGGATCGAACTACGGACCTTCAGTTTACAAGACTGACGCTCTACCACTGAGCTATAAGGGCCTTTTTGAAACGTCTTTACTGGTTTATATATATATATATACAATAAAATACCAGAGTGATTGAAATTACCAATGACGTATGCAAATTTCCCAAAATTCTAGGTCGGTCAGGAAGCTGGTTTGCTACAATCTGTGGCGGGAAGGGAAGGGGAAGAAGAAAAGACGAAGGGAACGCGCGGGTAAAACCTCAAATCCCAAGCAGCACTAACCGTAATCGGTTCCCTTCCCCTCTTTGCCATGTCTTTCCTCGACGAATTTCAAGCCAGTAAGCCTTTTCCACCTCCTAGTTTGTTCGATTATTTCAGAAACCCTAATTTCTGGACATCTCTATGTATCGTGAATTTATACTAGGCTTTCTGTTCCAAAATCCTCAATGTCCTTTTCATCAATTCATGTAATACCGGATGGTCACATCAACTCCGGGGGGACGGCAGTACTCAAATTTCTTCTACCTTTGTATCAGTAATGACTAGCTTTCCATTGTTAACAAGAGCGATGATTCCTTGTGTGTTTGAATGCCAAGTGCAGACCTTGAGTCACTGCCCAACATCCTGCAGAAGAAGTACGCCCTTTTACGTGATCTTGATAAGAGCTTGCAGGGTATGTATGTATGAATGTGCTCTGAGAGAGTTCTGCTGCTTAGCACAGTGTTTCCATGTCATCTCCTAGCAATCACAGCCTGATATGAGATACCTAGCGGTTACAACGTTTTGTGTATACGAACAGGGATCCAACACCAAAATGAACAGCGTTGTGAACAAGAGATAGAGGAAATTAAGTGCCGAATCAAGACTGCAAATACTTTGCCCGATGCTTCGGTAATCAAATTCTCCGATGAGGCACTCGATGAGCAGAAACATAGTGTCAGGATTGCTGATGAAAAGGTTGCCTTAGCTGTCCAAGCATATGACCTGGTATGCTCATCCCATTTCCTTGCTATGACCAGCTTGCAGAGTCTATAACTGGTGTTTGCTTTTTTATCTCCTAGCTTGCCCATTCTTGGGGAGCTAGCTTCAAGTGCTTGTTTTGAATCGGTTCAAAGTGTGATTCCGAGACTAGGTTGTTTGCCGGCTACCAGTTTTGCTATACGTAGATAACTTTAGAATTGTTCGACCATGCCTCAGGTTGATGCACATATACAGCAACTTGATCAATATTTGAAGAAGTTTGATGAGGAGCTCCGGCGTGGTTGGTCACTTTTTGTTTCTTTTCTGCCTGATGTGGCTTTATGCGCGTTCTTTCGCAGACACTATAATTTGCAGCTCTTTTCTTTGTATAAATGCTTCTTGGCAGAGAGAGAGAACAATGCTGCATCTGGACAGCAGACTGCAAGCACTGATTCCACTCCGAAATCCGGAAAGGCTAGTGAGGGTGGTAGAGGACGTAAAAAGTACTTGTTCTTCTCGTTTATCCTGGTTATCTTTATCATTTGAACATAACATTTTATGATGTGGAGCTGATCTGCGTTGATTGCATAATATCAAACAATTCGCACAGGACACGGCTGGCTGCAGCAACTGAAGCAGCAGTTGCCACCTCATCTGCTGACCCCTCCACCACCGTGGAACTGGATATACCAGTAGATCCCAATGAACCAACCTACTGTTATTGCAATGAAGTGAGCTACGGGGACATGGTTGCTTGTGATAACCCAGATGTAAGTCCGCTGAGTTTATTTTTCATGCCCGCTTTATGTGATGTCATCGTTTGCCAGAATGTCACTGAGAAATGGTCTTCATAGAAGTTTTTCTCAACTTGTTGCAGTGCAAGATAGAATGGTTCCACTTCGCCTGTGTCAATGTTAAAGAACAACCCAAGGGTAAATGGTACTGCCCGGATTGCGCTCCTGCGAGAGGTCGACGGAAAGCAAAATGAACTTGATGATGTTTACAACTCATGTGCGCCTTGCTGCTGCACTGACTTTGTACAGCAATGCCCTGTATCAACCTTGAAAGCTGCGTCAGCCTGTGTATCGTGGACGTCTTGTATGCATTCGTTTTTTTTTTTTTTTTTTTTGTAAGACTTTGGTTTCTTTCAGCTATAAGAAGAAAGTGACAGTTTCTACTTTGACGTTCAAAGGACGATTTTCCAAGCAGGGTTATGATACATTTGCAAGCAGTAGAGCAATCTCGACAATAAATGATTTATTGTGGGAGATACAGGCAATAGTTCCTCAGAGATCAACTTCCCTTTGGGTGAGTAACAACCAGTTCCATCTTTGTCCGAATTCATCAAAGCTACAACTCTACCTACAAAACCCAAAAAAAATCGAAAGAGATCCTCCATCCACTCACACTATGACCAAATACGGGACTAGCTCAAACTCTTCAACAATTTTGGTACAAAATCCAGTGTTTATGAATCTCCGCATCAGTTCTTTGTCAACCACTAAGGCCCTCAGTAGTCCATGCCCATGCCGCCTGGCATCCCAGGAGCTTCTTTCTCTTCTTTAGGAAGCTCAGTTATAATAGCTTCAGTTGTTGTCATCAAGGATGAAACACTGCATTCGCCAACACAAACCACCAAGTCAGAAGTCAGCATTCAGCAATCCGTTCAATTTATGGGGGTAACTTAAGGAATTGGGAGTAGAGACGTACCTAGCCGCATCAACCAAAGCAGTTCTAATTACTTTAAGAGGGTCAATAATTCCAGCTTTTACCATGTCAACATAATCACCTGGGTACAAGCACGCAGCCACAATATTTCAGTACGATTTCTGACAAGCTCAACTACGAGCGTAAAAAAGGGATTGATATTAAATGGTTGCTCACCTTTGGCAGCATCATACCCAAGGTCTAGGTTGTCTTGTTCCATTAGCTTGCCAACAACAACGGCTCCCTCAACTCCAGCATTAGATGCAATTGTATGCACGGGAGTCTGCAATGTTAAAATTCAATAGTCATCTTTCTCTACTTTGAAGCAAGCAGAAGAAAAAAGATCGGACAGAGATAGTTGGAAATTGCCAAGAGACCTTTAATGCATTCTGGATGATTTGGACACCAATCTTTTGGTCAAAATTGGCAGTCTGCAGTTTGTCCAACTCTTTGGCCGCATAAAGAAGAGCGACACCTCCACCTGAAATCCAGAAATCCACTTAAGAGACTCATGGCCGCCAACCTGAACAACTGAAGACAACTAGAGGATAAAATATATATGGAGAGAGATATTACCTGGGACAATACCCTCTTCCACGGCTGCCTTAGTTGCGTTCAAGGCATCTGTAACTCTGTCCTTTTTCTCACTGACCTCGGCTTCACTTGCACCACCGATCTGTTCAAGTAAAATCAAACTGTTATAGCCAACTTCATGCTAGCATTTACAAAAGACAGCTCTACTAGACGGTCAGAAAGCAGAATGACAGCTCAGATATACCTTTAGTACAGCCACACCACCAGACAACTTGGCAAGCCTTTCTTGCAACTTCTCCTTATCATAATCAGATGTGCTCAGTTCTATTGCAGACCGGATCTGTCGGAAAAATGTATAAACATTAATACAAAGCTTTGCCACATAACGTTAGGGAAATGATGAAACATAAGGCAGGTATTCCAAAAAAACAGACCTGTTCACATCTTTCTTCAATGGATTTCTTGTCACCAGCTCCATCAAGAATGACTGTGTCGTCCTTTGATATTGTAAGCTACAACAAAAATACAAACGAGTATCTTCATCAGATTCAGCATAAGCAGAATCAACCAGAGCTCTAAACGCATTTCCTAAGAAGCTAAAAAGGTGTACATGAAGATTACCTTCTTGCAGCTGCCAAGCATCTCCATGTCAACCTTTTCAAGATTCATTCCAAGCTCTTCGGTTATAACCTGCCAAGTGAGGATGTCAACAGGCTTCATTCAGAAAGCTGATCTATGAAGGGAGATAAACATGAGAGTGAAAAAAGCACTCACTTGTCCTCCGGTAAGAGCAGCAAGATCTTGAAGCCCTGACTTCCTGTTTTCTCCAAAACCAGGAGCTTTAATGGCACAGAGCTAGAGAAAGCAGACAAGGGAAAAGTAATCATCTATCTGAGCCACAATTCGCAATGATTATTAAATCAGATGTTACAGCATAACAAGCATCAAACCTTGAGTCCAGCTCGAAGTTTATTTAGGATGAGAGTTGCCAATGCTTCGCTCTCTATATCTTCAGCAACAATCAACAACGGCTTTTGGTGCTGCAAAAGGAAATAAAAGTTGAGCAAACAAACCAAGCAAGAATCTATTGCATTGGTGTGCTCCAAACTAGTTTAGAGGAGAAATAGAAAACACACCTTCAAGGCCAACTCTAGTACTTTTACAATAGCACTAACACTGGCGATTTTCTTCTCGTGGATCAAGATCAGGGGATTTTCTAGTTCCTATTTTGGAAAGACAGATCAAGCTCAGTCATGAATCACTCAAAAAGAATTTACAATCAAAATCATTCAGGACATTCTGGCTAGAATCAGATGAAGCAAGCACTTACACATTTTTGGTTCTTAGGGTTAGTAATGAAGTAAGGTGATATGTAACCTCTATCCAACTTCATTCCTTCCACAACTTCCAACTCGTTATATAATGTCTTACCATCCTGCAACAGTTTGACATGGAGTTCAGATCCTAATGCCACAATCATGACGTCAAAACACTTGCATCAAGGATTACATGGAGCTAGCTTACTTGGATAGTAATAACTCCCTCTTTGCCAACCTTCTCCATTGCCTTGGCAATCAACTCCCCAATCTCTCTCTCTCCATTCGCTGATATAGTGCCAACTTGTGCAATTTCTTCAGACGTGCTGATCATCCGTGCTCTACTTTTTAGGTAGGCGACAACGGCGTCAACTGCCATGCTAATACCTCTTCGTAGATCCATTGCATTCATTCCCGCTGCAACTGATTTGCAACCTTCAGTGAATATGGCCCTAGTAAGAACTGTTGCACATGTGGTCCCTGCAAGAACAACCAGAAACTAATTATATTGCTGTACGACAATCCACTGGATACGCCAAAGTTACAAATGGTTAATGTTTTCTCCATATCACTTACAGCAAAAATCATACTGAAGTAATCCATTGAAACAATTGTATATAAGAACATCTGCTATCATATGCTAGTGAAATTCAAAATGGATTCCCAGTTCCAAACCGTCAGGAACCATGATTGTTCCCATTTTTTACTGTACAAAAGTGAAGAGAGTAGTTGTATCAGTTTAGACACTTACCATCCCCAGCAGTATCATTGGTCGCATTAGCAACCTGCTTGACGAGGCTAGCACCAATATTCTTAACTTTGTCCTTAAATTCAATGCTCTTGGCAACAGTAACTCCATCCTTGGTCACTTTTGGGGCACCATAGCTTTGCTCAATAACCACATTACGACCCTGAAATGCGTAGCCGGATGCTAATTAAAATTGCGACCCAAACAGGCTTGTCCCAAATCATCACAACAGCAAAGAGAAGATCTGATGCGAAAATGACACCTATCCAGCTCGACGCAAGCAGCTCAGTTCAATTTTCAGTAGACCATAGAATGTAAAGAAGGGTATGCTGTATGTACCTTAGGGCCCATAGTGACTCTGACAGCATCAGCAAGCTCTTCAACGCCCTTAAGCATCAGAGCACGGGCCTCTACGCCAAATCTGATGTCTTTGGCCGCATAGTTTCTGTTCCAGTTCACTCTGCTTCCAATCTGAAGTGATAATCCACAAACAAATCATCAAACACCAAATCGCACCCTATCCAATCACACGTAAGGGAAAAAGAAGGCACACGTTCTTACCTGCTGAGCACCATTCCTGGCGATCCTGCAATTGACAAAACAAGCCAAACCGAAAAAGAATAAAACCCAACCATCAACAAGATGAAGGAACAATAACCGAAACCGAAACCTTCATTAAATGCAACAGCTCAGAAGTTCTCGTTTCTCAAACAGCGGCCTCTCCCCCCCCCCCCCCCCCCCCCCCACTATTTTCTGGAAAATCAGATGAGGAGAGTGAATAGCCAAGAGGCAGTCGGAACTCACCGAGCTTTAGTGGCGAGGCTGGAAGCGAATCGGTACATGGCTGAATGCAAATTGCAGAAGGATTTGCAAATGAATATGGAAGGAGGAGTGAAGTCAAAAGATCAATGGAGAGTGCACAGAACGAGAAAGAGAGAGAAAGACGCGAGAATGGAAATGGGAGAGAGGCGGAGAGATGGGTTTTCTAGTGAGAAGAGGAAGGGTCTAGAAGCAACCTCGGCAGCTTCTGGTGGTTAGGGTTTAGGGTTTTTGTGCATTCTATTCCTTTCTGCAAGCAGTGTGCGTGCGAATGGGGTTTAGTCGGCTGCAAATGGCAAGGGGGAAACGACGACGTTTTACCGGAGGATTGTTTGCCAGCGATGCCTAATTATAATATATAATTTTGAACGGAAGCAAACTGTAGCTAAGGAAGAGATCCTCCCCTGCGGACGCGACTAGGTGAGTTCTTTTCTATTTTGTCTTCTTGTATTCAATATGAAAGGTACGTACACTATGCTTGGGTCTTCTTCTCTATTTTATCTTCTTGTATTCAATATGAAAGAGACGTACACTATGCTTGGGTCTTCTTCACTATTTTATCTTCTTACAATATGAAAGGGTATCATCACATAGCTGTCCATTTCCATTCCTATAAAACCCTTCATATCTTTTTTTTTTTTTGACAAAAGATAATCATATATTGATCACAAAAAATAGATAGTTTACAACCTGGAATTCAGCCAGGCCTGAAAATCAAAGAAACGACTCCTAGTCGGGTACAACGAAAGGGCTTTACGAGCCACCAGATGGGCTACCCTATTACTACGCCGACCTACAAATCGAACAAGAAACCCAGGAGAGCTGCTACAAATCTGCAGGAGTTCCTCCAACACAGCTCCAACTCGGTCATCCCTAGCATCCTTCTGATTGATTTTATCAATAAGCACCTTCGCATCCCCCTCAAACCTTACTCCCGAAAGACCAGCCTCCAAGCACCACCACATCGCCTCCCGAAGAATAAGTAGCTCTACCACCATAGGGTCATCTATGCAAGGAAACTGAAACCCCTTAGCCATCCAAACCTCTCTAGTTGGAGTTAGGAGGACCACCCCCCCCCCCCCCCAGCCGAATGCGACCCCTGCCTCACCGCGCCGTCCCACATACAAATAACACTGTCCTCCCCAGTAGGATGAAGGTGAGGACCCCCAGCCGGAGCCCCCATCTGGGTAACTACCAAGGGACCCTTATCCAAAGGCAACCTGACCCACTCCTCATACTGCTGGTGAAACTGGCGCAGCAAGGCCGGAAACCCAAATTGCTTTCCTTCAAAAACAACCCAGTTCCGAGACCGCCATATTCGCCAAAGGACAGCCACCACAGCCATAAACAGAGAAGGCTGATGAATGAGGGCCAAAAGTCGCTTCAGGAACATAGGGAAGGTATGTCTCGGAAGACCCTCTCCCATATACCAAGACCAGAGTAATCCCATAGGGCCCGAGCCACCGGACAATCCAAGAACAAGTGCTCCATTGACTCAGTACACGCCCAACAAACAGGACATCGGGGCTGTACCGGGACATGCTTATCAATAAGTGCCTCCGTGGTGGGCAAAATCCGGTTGAAGATCTGCCAGAGAAAAACTTTTCGTTTCGGGGGGATGTTTGCATTCCAAACCCGAACCCAGTCCTCTTTACCCATCCAACCAACCGTCGATCTCCAACCTCCCTTCCTCTTATCCCTGTCAACAGCTAAATGGTAGGCAGATTTCACAGTGAAAACCCCATCCACCGTACCATGCCAGATTAGCTTATCCAAAACATCTTGACGCGGAAGGGGGATAGTTTTAATTGCCTGACAGGTGGGTGGATCAAACCATTGACACAATTTGAGGTCATCCCAACACCCCTCCCCTGGACGCATCACTTCAGCAACTAGTAACTTCCCCCCTTCTGGCAAAATACGAGGATTATAACAAGGGGGCTCCATTTGCAACTTAGGGATCCAATTAGAGTCCAGTAAAGCCGCAGTCTGCCCGTTCCCAATCTGCCACCGTAACCCCTGGGCCAGCAATTCCCTACCAAAAAGGATACTTTGCCATCCCCACGAAGGGCGAGACCTAGCTAATGCCTCAAGAAACGACCCATTGGGGAAGTACTTGCCTTTGTACACCTGGGCCAACAACGATTGAGGTTCCATTAGGATACGCCAGCCAATCTTAGCCAGCAAAGCCTGGTTGAACTGCTCGAACCGACGGAACCCCAACCCCCCATCGTGCTTGCTACGGCATAGATTACGCCAGGACACCCACCGGATCCGAAAATGATCATCAGCATCCCCCCACCAAAACCGGGCCACATGCCTATCCAGGAGGCGACATAAAGAGAGCTGTAGCTTAAAACAGGACATCACATGCAACGGCAAGGCTAGCGCAACCGACTTAATCAAGGTCTCTTTAGCAGCCCACGACAAAGTCCTCCTCTTCCACCCCTGGAGGCGTTCCAACAGCTTTTCCTCCAAATACCGGAAAGTGGTCATCTTGGACCTAGCAATAAGCGTAGGCAACCCCAGGTATTTATCATGGACCCCCACCGCCCCCACTCCCAGAACCGCGGCCAAGAATTCCTGATCCTCACGGACGATATTTTTACTGAAACAGACAGCCGACTTGGTCAAATTCACCCGTTGGCCGCTCAACTCCTCATACTCATTTAGGACCTCAATCAGATTTTCACACTCCCTGAGGGTCCCTCGCAGGAATAAATACGAGTCATCCGCAAAGAACAAGTGTGAGATCCGCGGCGCCCGAGGGGCCACCTTCACTCCTTCCAATCTTTTTTCCGCGATAGCCTTGCGAAGCAGCGCCGCAAAGCCCTCAGTGCAAAGTACGAACAGAAGAGGGGAAAGCGGATCCCCTTGCCTTAAACCTCGGGAAGGAGTAAAATACCCTGAAGGAGTCCCATTCATAAGGACCGAAGAAGGGAATTCTCACAATTTTCTTCCTTTATCAAGCCGTTGGGTGCTCTTTCGTTCTTTTTTTTTTCTACTTGTTTCTTCTACAGTTGCATAATTGTTCATGGGATGGTTATCTCATGGAATTCATTGTTATTATCCCCAACCATTTCATGTGGTTTATGAGGAGCTGTAGCCTTCCTTTTTGAGTCATGACGCGACTGGTTGGGTAGGTTGAGGCTGTTGCTGTTGCTATGGAGCTGATGCACACAATAGTGTTGCTGCCATTTCTTTCACCGCCACCGCCAAGTTTACCGAAAAACAATGTTGTTGATGAATTGTTGGTGTCGTCTGTGGCAACAGCCACCACGATGGTGATTGGGCTGGGGGAGGTGGATGCGCGAGCGGCGAAAGCGGTGGAGGTGTTGGTCGTGGTGACGCTAGCATGAAGGGCACATGGTGACGGTGGTAGCATGGAGCTGCATGTAGAAAGGCTGGGGCACGTCTCGACATGACCGGTACCTGGCGACGGAGTTTAGCTGGTCGGAGTGCTTCCTCGCCAGGTCCTCGTTGACCACTCTTCTAGAGATTGGCGAAGAGTTCGCTTTCTTCGCCGAACTCGCACAATTTTGTTGTCTGTTTATTCATTGCCAAATAAAGTCCACTGTATCATTCAAAAAATATGCTCATACTTCTTGTGCTATGGTGAATGTACATGAAAGTTGTTGTCACTTTCGATTACCTAAATCAAGATTCAACCATAAACTAACTATTACAGTAGCTGGATAAATATGCTAAATATTCTGGGTACTTACTTAAATCAATTTTTAGCCAGCTACTTAGAATCTGCATGAATCGAGATCAACATCCAATTCATGGTTCAAAAAAACTCAGAAACGCTTTGGCTAAAATTTGCATGCAAAAGAGAACAACAAATCGAACTTAGAGCAAAGAATCGTACAAACAATTCCCAATTTCCAACCGCCACCGATCTACTTCCAGGAAAGCTTGAATCTAAAGGAACACCCAGGCACGGAGCGTCGACGATGGATTGTGACCCTGTGATATTTGGAGGTAGCGACCGAAGCGAAAATCAACTAAGAAATTGATTCGGATAAGAACAACCGTTAAGGTCTTTGTCGTGCTGTCATGTTTGCGTGGCCTCTCGATCATATTATGATTTCTTGTCCTTCGTTTCTTTCCTATTTTTCGTTTTCTGTTCTTTTGTTCGCTCTTCCCTGTCCTGTTGAGGTTAATTACTCTTGTCGATCTCTTTGTGTTTTGTTTCATTTCTACTATTTTCCCTTCCAGGTTGATAAGATCATGTCTCCTAATCTCTGTTTGTTCTTGTCAGACTTTCTTTTTGGCCCAGACATCTCTTGTAGTGAGTTAGTGAGTGACATATGAAATTGAGGTAATGATATATGTATGTATGCATTAAGATTGATATAAATTTTGATCCCTGACTTGAGAGTAAAACTCTTAGCAATTATAACAGATTACTTTTGTCACTAAAAGGAGATATAATAAAATGAATTAATATCAATAATTTCTTTTGTTTGGCCCATGTACAAGGTTACTCGACACAGTTATTTTATTCGAAAGAAAATCGTGAACTGTACAAAAAGATCAGTTAAATCCAACAAGAATAAGGGGATGATTGCACCGATTTGGTTATTATAAATTCAAGGCATGAAGATGTATAGTAGGTATCGTTCGTCAAATAATAGTTAGTAAAAGAAAGCAAAAGCGACTGTGCAGAAGAAATCGACGTAACATAAACTCTAAACTATGGTTATAACTTTTTTGTTACTATACGAAACAAATGCCATCAGAATGTAGGTATTTTCACCTATACATCTACGACAGCAAGTGGATGGACAGTCTTCAATCTATAGACGGGCAGGGCAACAACCAACCAGTAAATCAATGGTTACAGACCAAAATGGTCAAAAAGTCTTGGTCGGTCAGACCCATCGAAATGTGAAACCATGCATCACATCTTCTTTCTGCTTGAATTCTCGAACTTGGGCCTTGTGGTACTAGGTGAGTTATTCTCTATTTTGTCTGCTTGTATTCAATATGAAAGGGACGTACACTATGCTTGGGTCTTCTTCTCTATTTTATCTTCTTGTATTCAATATGAAATGGACGTACACTATTATTGGGTTCCTATAGTCAGTGTGCACTATTGTTTTCCCGTACATGCATTGTAGGAGGCTTTTGATCTCGTCTAGGTGAGCTCTTTTTTATTTTATCTGCTTGTACTCAATGCGAAAAAGACATATACTATGCTCGGGTCTCTATAGTTGGTGTACGTTGTTGATGTACAATACCATTGGTCGTGTAATGCCATTGCATGTGCTTATACCACCAAATAGCTGTCCATTTTCATTCCTATAAAACGTTCTTATCTTTAA